AGAAGTTAACACTAATTATAGAAAGATTAAAAAAAGATAGAACCATTCCAGACACAGAAATCTTTGTGTGATAAGGTGTTCTGGTGTTTCCCTATTTTCCCCATAGAATCTGCATTCGCAGTTGTTTCTTCAATCTCTGCAGCTCCAATCTACTGAGGTATTCACTGAGGAGATAGTGTCCTGTTAAAAACCCCGTAACACATAAAAAATCTAACGCCACCGATTAACAAGAAGGCATGTTAGGCATATTGTAACCTTTTCGCGATCACACTGAATTTATTGATATACTCCTCTTTTTATTGATTGGATGCAAATGTATGCTCACCCTGTATATTCCTTGGCCAAATTTTAAAGCATCCCTTTTAGTTAGGTATATTAATACAACATAACGACATTACCAGTGGCGTAGCTAGAGGTAAAACACTTTTTATAAAGTTATTAGATTAGCAGTTTTTGAAATATGAAATTACAATTTTGTGTCAAAAGTGACATTTGCAAATATAAAGATAATCAAATATTTTTCAGGGTCAATACATTTATTCACAAATTTATGTTGCTGATCTTTTAGAAAATATTTTACTGTATATTTTTACAGTATTTTATCTAATATTATACAGAGTGCCCATAAATAATTTACAAATATTACGCTAACAAGACTATAAATGGAAACATCCATTTTTCTTTCTTTAGTTTATTGTATGGAGTGTAGAGGTAAGGAGAAATAACTCCGTGCATTAAAAATGGTCAAAAAAAGAGAAGAATTAGGATGGCGCTGCTGTAGCAAGATCCTAAAATTTAAGACATGCGCCGAACATTTTAGAATAGATGATTAAGACATAAATATTTGACGTGAAGCAAACGCGAAGCCGCGGGTTTCAAAAAAATACAATTTTATTTTCATGTTGCACGAAATAAATTACAGATTTTTATTCAGCAGCAATAGACTATTATTTTAAGTCTATGACTACGCCCTTTTTTATTGCTTCTCATAAGTTATTTCCATAGACTAATGTCACGTACTAGAGATAGATTGGACACTGATATAAAACAAATAAGTCCGTCATTTAGAGCCACCTGGTGATCCGGAAGAAACTAATGGGGAGTTTTGGCATAACATAATTTTACCGTTCCGTTACTTATTAACGCTAACTAAAACGGTAACGTTATTCAAGCCCAAAATTATTCCTTGTAAAATATAAAATAATAAATAGAGACTCGTTTACTATATTTTATGTTTTATTAGATCATTAGAAGTATAACATATTCAAAACTAAAAATAAAATTATGAATACATACATATTAACCACCAACATAGAGTATATAGCGCCTATTTTTTTGATTTAACAAATAAATTATAATATTATAATAAAAATATTATAGACCACTAATTGTTACAGTACTATATTACCTACTATGTACTTACTTATTTATGATTAAACATTTTTTTTTATTTCGTTCATAAATGTATTATTCATCTAAGCTGTCTAAAAGGTCTTTGCTAAAAAAAGTTTAGTATCTCACACGAAAATTATGGTCGATTGTAAATATCAAAATGCACAAACTAATAAAAACACAAACTATAAACACAAATCACCAAACTTTCCGGTAAATCAGGAATATCTGAATTAATAATTATTTAAAAATGATTTATAAATAACTTGATGGATCAACAACATTTTGACAACTAGACCAAAACTAGACCATAGATGGTAGTAAATATAGAGGCTGTCATGTCATCTTCATATATAAATTAGAAATCTGTACTTTAATGTCTTTTGCGCCGTCTGGCGATGCGGAAGAAGCTAAATTTGTAGTTCCATAAAATTACCATTGAATGTCTAGGGCATGGTTATTTCGCAAATGTCATTCAAGACGACGAAAAAATATTCTGATCGTTTTAGCTTAAAATTAATGTTAATTATAATTAACACAGATAACATAAAATTATATGTTATCTGTGATAATTAAGAAAACTTTAAAGTAATAATAATTGGTGATGGGTTTTAAATAAATATAATGCAGCTTTAAAATAACTCCATACATTTATTTTGTATAAAAGTCAATAGTATGTGATTTTATTATCGATTATTCAGAAGCAATAGACTGGGCATCTTTTTTTATTGTTAACTTTTCGTAAATCTCATTCAAGATGAAAAACTTTAGCTTAAAATTAATGAAGCACTTAGTTAAATATTTTTCTAGTTAAATATATTTCTTGAAAGTACAATTTTAATGTATTTCCTACTTGTTTAAAAAAGGCAATAATTTGTTGAATGTCAAACTTTAAAATCATTAAAAATACATTTTATTTGGCTGTAAAGATATATTTTGTATATGTATATCAATAATCTTACAAAAAACCTTTACTACACTTTTGATTCATTCTAAATTTTACATATAATACTGAATTATCTGTATTTTACATACCTTAGGTTGGAAAGAAGATATCCTGTGTCATTTTATTTGCTCTTTTTTTCCATCTGTTCAAACAACTATCCATTACACACACTTTCCCCATTGTTAATAATGAATAAAAAATAAAATATGCCTAAAATATAATTTTTTTGTATTCGAAAAAGAAAAAAAAAAGCTTTTTGCGTATCAAGTACAAAACCAAAACATGAACTTTTCTTGTAATGTTTGGTTATGTTATTTTTATTCTCTTATCTATGGTTACTTTTCGTTATGCTTACGTTTTTAGCGCCACTGTGGTCATTTGGTGAACCCTTATTCTTCTCATTTTGTGACAAGTTTTTCAATAAAAGTCCCATAAGAGTTATTTCTCGTTTATTACTATCAAAAATAAAGGTAACCTTGTATAAAGTGGTTTATACGTAATTATAATATTTGTAAATCAAAATATTTGCAAGTTAATATTTATTCTTGAGTTATAACTCATTATACAGTCTCAGGGCTTTGACAAAAGCCAGTATTTGAGACAGTTAGTTCTCCATATCCGATATCAGTCGTACCAAAATTTATGGCACGAATGTTTGTCGTCTCGGCGTACTCAGTGATGAGGTGTTCTGGTATTCCCCTATATTCCCTACAGAATCTGCATTCGCAGTTGTTTCTTCAATCTCTGCAGCTCCAATCTACTGAGGTATTCACTGAGGAGATAGTGTCCTGTTAAAAACCCCGTGACAATCCGAAGACTGTTCTTATTTAAATAAAGAAAAATAATTGATAATTTCTCGGTCGTAAGTCCTGAGAAAAATCAAAGATTTTCTTTGATTTATGTAAGAACAACCTTCGGTGTTAAGAAGAGAGAAACAGGTGTTCAGAAATATATTTTTTATTTAACCCGAAGTAGCTACTGACTTATTATCTAACTACCGAATGATCGAGAAAAAACGGCGTCAGCGATGGCTATGAAATGAAGATCGCTGTCAATATATATGTAAATTTATATGGGAAATGTCATCGATCGTCATTTCCCAGCCAACGGGACGCCATTTTTTTTCGATCGTACGGTACTTCTGGTTAAATAAAAAAATACATTTTTTTATACTGGTTGTCATGAGTGTCGTGACCTTTTTAGTTTTAATTTGACCGTCATGAGTTATGATCCAGTGGGTAGATAGCATTGTAGTAGGGGTAATAGGATTTTTTTAAATTATTTTTATTTAGGCATAAACAACTTTAAACAAAACCTTTATTTTTGATCACAATAAACAGGAAAAAAATGGATGCATTTTTAGTAACGAATTGAATTTTTGATTGAATTTTTTGCATTTTATTATTCGGGTCTCTTCCGATAGCTACCCACTGAACATTACCCTAACCCACCTTAAACCAAATGGATGAAAATTGGTGTCTGAGAGTTTTTTGACATGAGAAATTTGATTTTGATGTCAATATGACTCCTACTTGTAGAGAGCGCCACCTACATATTTTTTAACTGGTTTGAAGACTAATAACTTTTCGTCCGTACCTGTATAAAATTACTGAGTAAAAAATATACATTTACGACATTTTTTACGTAAAAAAGATCTCTTGGTAAAAATCGCTACGAGTAATGGTTCTCGAGATATTTGGAATCAAAATTATCAATACCTGTTGACTAAATAGCTATCAACATGTTGACTAAATAGTTATCAAACTGAAATCATAAATTTGGAATGTTTTTGTTCAAAAATTCAACAGAAACTGTTTTATCATCATTTTTTCGCAGAAAAATTTATTATTAATTTAAAAAAATAAAAATTTATTTTTTAAGTCAAATAATTATCTATCATATCTAACGTATGTATTTTTTTGTCAATAATGACATGTATTGACTATTTCCATTCTAAATATCTTGAGAACGGTTACTCGTAGCGATTTTTACCAAGAGATATTTTTTACGTAAAAAATCACGGAAATGTATATTTTTTTCTCAGTAGTTGTATACAGGTACGGACGAAAAGTTATTACTCTTCAAACCAGTTAAAAAATATGTAGGTGGCGCCCTCTACTAGTAGGAGTCATATTGACATCAAAATCAAATTTCCCATGTCAAAAAACTCCCAGATACCAATTTTCATCCAAATATCGACCTTACTTCAGAAATTATTTTGAAAAAATCGAAATAAAAATGAAACTTCTACACCCTGTATCTCCGAAACTAAGCATTTTAGGACATACATTTACACGAACTTTTTTACTTATTTTTATCTGCAGAATATGCTGCCGAAGTTTCCGGAATACAGTTCGAACCACCCTGTATAGAAAGTAGAGAGGCCAAGTAGAAAATATTTTAAAAAGGAAAATACACTTGAAAATAGCCTTACCTTGAATTGTTTAAATTAACATCTATATCTATTAGATCCTAAATAACTTTTTAATGATCCAGTTGCTTAAAATAAACCATTTATACTGAATAGATGCGATTTTTTTTGCATTTTATTATTCGGGTCTCTTCCGATAGCTACCCACTGAACATTACCCTAACCCACCTTAAACCACTTACACCATCAGACTTTTACCCCAATCTCTACGTCCCTGAACGTTTTCTACAGTTGTTTCAGGCTCGACGAGCGAGGACAACTCCCAGATCCTGGTGATGAACAACTACTTCGGTATAGGCATCGATGCCGACCTGTGCCTCGATTTCCACAATGCCCGGGAAGAAAACCCAGGCAAATTCATCAGCCGGCTGCACAACAAGAGCGTCTACGTCAAAATCGGCTTGAGGAGAATGGTCGGGCAAGGAAAAGTGTACAGGGATCTGCACAAGCTGGTTCAACTAGAGGTGGACTTCAAAAGGGTGAATTTGCCGCAGGTTGAGGGGATCATAGTGTTGAATATTTTGAGGTGAGTATTACAGATATCTACAGGGTCCGGCAATAGTGCGTCGGGCATCTGTAGCTCCTAGAATAAAAAACTTGGGAATTTTGTTTAAGTGCAAACCTAAAGTATGTACTAGGATGTATTTCAGGAAAATATTTTAACTTCTATAGGGTGGCTCAAAAAAGTGTGAGTGGGATGATTTTTTTTAAATGGAACACCCTGTATATTATTGCATTTTTGGCTTCCTTTCAGATCACTTTACATAATCCTAAGACATGACTAAATATATTTCGATAATTTCAGAGATTTTAATAAATAAATAAAAATTATATATTTTTCAGCCTTTCTTCAAAAAAAATTATTAATAATACAAGAATTGTCCTGAAATCAAAACTATATTATATATTTACTTTAAAGAAATAAAAAATCGTAAATCATACAGAATGTTCAAAATTCTATGTCAAACTTTCTAAAAGATAAAATAATTTTTCTTTGTTTTTTTAAATTTAATTTTTTTATATAGATGGAGAATTAAAAAATGAACATTTGCCTTTAGAGTATTTCAAAATTTTTAACGGTTTCGCAGATATTCCCGGTTTTGTATTTCATATGGCATTTTCCACAGTAAATTTTTATCAAAGCCACCCAATGATTTTTCTCTCGTATTTTACATTGAAAGCGCCATATGAAATAATACTGCGTGTATCCGGAATACTATTAAAAATTTTAAAATACTTTAAATACAAAAAATGTTTATTTTTTTATCACTTAAGAAAGGGGAACACACAATAGATCTGTAAGGTCGCGGTGATTAAAGGTTGTCGCCCACTAGACCGCTGCGCGGCGCGGCGCTGGGAAGAGAATTTTTTCCGGCTGCGATGGGACTGCGCCCACTATAGCGCGCTTTTGAAACGCGGCAACGCTATTTAGTTATAGTCGAAGTGTTTTTTACTTACTGTAGTTTAGTTTTTAAAGCAATGAGTTCAAGTACGGACGAAAGCGTATTTTTTGTGCTCTTCTAACAGAGGAAGAGGAAAAAGGGGTGAGGAAAAGTTTGGACTCATACGATTAACAAAAAAAGAAAGAAGTTTGGAGAATTTTGCCATCTTTTTCCAGATTTAATAAAAGACAAAATCATTTTTTTCAGTATTACTATATATAATGGAAACATTTTACGCACTCCTCAATTGAGGGTTTTAGAAGAAAAAACACCGGGTATATCTACTCATCATATTTTTTCAGATGAGACAAATAACTAATATTTTTGATAATTCTTATTTATTCTGCTGTGTATATTAGTTATGTGGTCAAAAAAACCCTGATCTTTTTTATATATTTAGGTAATTAGAATTTAAAAATTGGAGATTGTCACTTTTGTTAAAAAGTGGAGATTGCCAGTTTTGTCTCTACACCCCTCAATTATATTAAATCTTTGATAGAAAGGCATTTCGTCCATCTGTCTCTAGTGAGGGAAGACTAAAAAAAATATCATATTCCTTTTATGAAAATCGATTTGCCTAATTTACCTTTAAAAATACAATTCTGCCATTGATACATATCACTAGTTCCTAGTCAAAAAGCCAACTGAAAAAACTCGAATGCAAAACTATTTCCCTTGTGAGTACGCACACTGCAACGCGCCAAAACGCAGGAGACGGAAAAAAGTTGCTAGAGAAGTCTTCCGACTTCTTGACGGAAATCCCGCGGCGCGCTTCTGCGCTGCGCGCTCTAATGTGCGTTGGTCCATTTAAATACATGGCAAGCGGACAAAAGAAATTTCCACATGGCGCCGCGGCGCGGCGGGCGCTGGCAAGAGAATTTTTTCCGGCTGCGAAGGGACTGCGCCCACTATAGCGCGCTTTTGAAACGCGGAAACGCTATTTAGTTATAGTCGAAGTGTTTTTTACTTACTGTAGTTTAGTTTTTAAAGCAATGAGTTCAAGTACGGACGAAAGCGTATTTTTTGTGCTCTTCTAACAGAGGAAGAGGAAGAGGGGGTGAAGAAGAAAAGGAAAAGTTTGGACTCATACGATTAACAAAAAAAGAAAGAAGTTTGGAGAATTTTACCATCTTTTTCCAGATTTAATAAAAGACAAGAGCATTTTTTTCAGTATTACAAAATATAAAGGAAACATTTTACGCACTCCTCAATTGAGGGTTTTAGAAGCAAAACACCGGGTATCTCTATACTCATCATATTTTTTCAGAAGAGACAAATTACTAATACTTTTGATAATTCTTATTTATTCTGATGTGTATATTAGTTATGTGGTGAAAAAACCCTGATCTTTTTTATATATTTAGCTAATTAGAATTTAAAAATTGGAGATTGTCACTTTTGTTAAAAAGTGGAGATTGCCGGTTTTGCCTCTACACCCCTCAATTATATTAAATCTTTGATAGAAAGGCATTTCGTCCATCTGTCTCTAGTGAGGGGAGACTAAAAAAAATATTATATTTCTTTATGAAAATCGATTTGCCTAATTTACCTTTAAAAATACAATTCTACCATTGATACGTATCACTAGTTCCTAGTCAAAAAGCCAACTGAAAAGACTCGAATGCAAAATTATTTCCGTTGTGAGTACGCACACTACAACACGCCGAAACGCGGGAGACGGAAAAAAGTTGCTAGAGAAGTCTTCCGACTTCTTGACGGAAATCCCGCGGCGCGCTTCGGCGCTGCGCGCTCTAATGTACGTTGGTCCATTTAAATACATGGCAAGCAGACAAAAGAAATTTCCACATGGCGCCGCGCCGCGTCGCGCCGCGGTCTAGTGGGCGACAACCTTAACTCTCTCCTAAATATTCTACATTCTAACACGACAGGATCGGGCTAAGCCTTAAGCAGATTTCTGAAATATAATATATATTTCCTTCGGCCACACAACCATGATTATTTTATATTATATTTCTGTCTATTTATATTATAATGTACTTTGTAATTAACTGGAACAAATAAACTATACTAACTATACTAACTATTTAAACCAAAAACTCGTAATACAAAACTAAAATGTCAAAACGAATGACAATATCAGGAAATAAATAAAGCGGCAACTTCACATTGTTTACAGCAGAGCTACCATCTGAATCCCCAACGCGAAATTTAAATTCCAGTTAAGTCAGCACGGCGCCGAATATGTCCATGGTTGGCAACAATGAATTTAAAAATCGTAACTAAAAGTTTAATTGATATGAAATATAGATTCTCTTCTTATTTGTACAGGGTGTCCCATTTTCATGTGTTTTGCAGGGTTTCTAGGTTATGAGTAGAGTTAGAAATACGCAGTTTTCATATTACTATGCTACTTTTTTATGAAACTAAAGATACTACACAAAGATTTGTCCTAGCTCTCTTAGTTGCATTTTTCGACCCCCTTTGTATCTCGGTTTAACTGAAGAATGTTGAGATATTTTACCTTGCTCTTTCAAATGAAATACTCTTTATTATATTATAAATAAACACAATTTTTATCTGACAAAATTTATTCAGTATATCCTACAGCAAAAATTAGATTTACCAAGTAATTTACTTTTTCTGTTAAGACGTACAATTTTTCTTTTTCATATCTTTTATTTTTTAAAGAAATAAACATTAAGTCCTGATATATCTTTATTCACATAACTATGTTTTTTAATATCAAAAGACCAATAATATAATAATAATTTTACTTTGAATTACTTAGTTGGGGATCTGGAGCTAACCCTTGGGGTCTAGAGAAAGATCAGCATTTTTCCAAACCAACTCATTTCGATGGATTGTTAGAGGTTGTCGGTGTTACCGGTGTGGTGCATTTAGGACAGATACAATCAGGCCTGAGGTCAGCAATGCGCATTGCACAGGTCAGTAAAAACACTTCATATATAGGTATTAAATAATTCTTATAAATATAAATATCATTCAAGATAAAGGCTGAAAAAGAAGTATCAAGAAACTTAATACCTCTTTTTTCAAGTCCTGCATACTTATTTCCAGACTTGTACACTTTGCATAAATCAATTCTAAACCAAAGAAAAAATAATACAAAAAAGCCAAACAAAGCTGACAAAAAAAGGTGTTCTAGAATTGTATTTGGGTACTTTCTTAGTTTCTTATTTGTTAAATGCTAAATATACAATACATAATTAATAAAAAAGAATAATAAGATAAATTTTAAAGCTAGATGTAAGGAAATATAATATTACTTAACAAAGAGTGTTTTCTAATTTAGGGCAAACATATTAGAATACATCTGAACGCTGATATTCCAGTACAAGTCGATGGTGAACCCTGGATACAAAGCCCTTGTGAAGTAGTCATACTAAAATCAGCTTTAAAGGTTTGTATATCGTATCATTTTACGAAACAAAAATGGCACAAGACCTTGGAACTATTAAAGTAAATACGGAGCGATAAACAATGATTGAAATAGTTGGCAACACTGTCTTAGAGGATTAGTGATTGGTACTGATGTTAAAACAAATTATCGATCGAATAATTTTAGCAAAGTATGTTAATTCATTGACGCTATATTGGAGCGAGACACTTTTGAGAAGCACCCGATTTATTTAATATATGTTTGCTATTAATATTAATCTCTACAATTTTGAGATACCTTATTAATTTGTAAGGTTTAAAGGTCGTGTGCTATTTCGAAATGATTTGTTTCAATCATACGCGATTTTCGATGCATGTATTATGATTGATACTAATGTGGTGAACAATCGATAAAGGTTATGTTTTCTCTACACGTGTGGTCATCTGGAAATACATTACATATATAGGATGTCACACTAGATATAACCCTTGTATACCGGGTGCGTCTCAAAAGTGGTCTCACCCCTATAACTTTTTTATTTTTTCACACAAAACAACGAGATTTGGTATGTTAGTATATGTTGTATGTTGTATATGTAAATTGGGATGGATTGACGTATTCAATTGTTATCGGCCACTTCCGGTTTCACCGGAAATGGCTACAACTTTTGATTTTTAAATGGCACCCTCGGTATTTTTTACTTTATTCGATAGAAAATGACACTCTGACTCGAATGACATATCGTATGTCAACTTTTGACATTTTCACATATAGTTTATTTGAAATTGTAACTTGCGATTTATAAAGACAATTTGACTCAAAATACCAAGTGTGTGGTATCAAATTATTCGTAAAAAAATGCCTTTTCCAAATATGCTAATGAGACACCCTCGTTCCATTTGAAAAAAATGAGATAGGTATGATTAAAAATACGATTTGGGCATCTTTTAACCGGCCAGGACAAGACACTAAAAACATTAAACGATCAAATCTATTTTTCCAAGGCTCCTTGATTAAAAATTAACATAGCAAGTTTTTAACACAGCCATGGCACTCTAGATTGAAATTTAAAATACAATTTGTTTTTGAGTGACTATGTCAGAAATTGACATATGATATGTCATTCAATTTAAAGTGTCATTTTCTATCGAATAAAGTAAAAAAATACCCAGTATGTAGTCATTTCTACTACTCGTATGTAGTCAAGTTGTAGTCATTTCCGGTGAAACAGAAAGTGACCAAAAACAATTGAATACGTCAATCATGTCATATACTAACATATCAAATCTAGTTTTCTTATCTGAAAAAATAAGAAAGTTATAAGGATGAGCCACTTTTGAGACGCACCCGGTATATATAAACAAGGATATAACGTAGAGAATAATTAAACTTATTTATGCCAGTTCCATACAATAAAACATACGGATATACGTATACAGGATGTCTCTAATTTACGAATATATTTTTTAAGTGGTAGTAGATCAAAACTATATGTTCTATTTGCCATTTTGAAATAAATTGAAAATGTCACTGATTAAAATTAATTTTCGTAGTTCTAATTTTTTAATTTTCTGGAACAAAATTTTCAACAATTTTGTTTGCAAAAAACTCATGGGCAAGTTTCAAGGATCTAATAGTCGAAAAAAAACGGCGTCAAAGACGGCTGGGGAACGACAATCAATTATTTTTGGCGAGGTCAAGCTCTAGACATCATTTACTTTGCCCGTATTCTTCTTTATTTTTTATTGGTGCTGACTGGCAGCTGGCCCTAAGAACACTGTAATTTATTTTTACATTGAGTAAAAATGAGTTTTAATTTGTGCACCTAGTTTAAAATTCGAAAAAAAAATTTTTTTGTAAATAGATTTGTGTGCCTGTAAACGTTCTATCGTTTTTAGTTCTTTCTATAATTAGTGTTAATTTTTGACAATGTCAATTTTTTAGTAAATAACTACTAGAGATTAATCTCGCCAAGATTATCATCCAATCTCATCCACCAGCTGTCTGCTGTCTTTGACGCCAGGTTAAAATGTACTTAAGGCACTTACTTGAGGGACACACTATACAACTGTCCTTGTCATTTTTTTCTATGTGTACTACTCTACAGATTTTGGAGAAACAAATCTTTGCGATTGTTAGTTTTTTTTTATTAGCACAGTATATGTAGATGACAAGTTTCTAGTTAGTCTAGGGTTTTCTTATATACTTTTGACAAAGTGCATGTATTTTAGATATAATAGATAAGTTTTGCCTTGATTTTTAAAGCTAGAAATCATAATTGTAGGTAAAAAATAACAGGCAAATATTTAAAAGTTGTTATTGTTTAATACTAATACAGTGTGTAATAAAAAATCTAAATCTAAATTAAAACTCTTATAAGTAAGTATATGTATCTTTAAAACTTATAATATAATACATTTCTAAAAGAACACGTGTGTTTTTAGGACAATAGGTAATTTATGTTTTTTAACAAAATGCCGTTATCCAATACGTAGATTTACTAGTAATGTTATGCTCCTAATGATGTTCTTCGAGAACGCATAAATACAATATAATACAAAAAACTTTGCAATACTAATCAATTCAATAATTTGATTGTTTTTTTTTTCGTTCAAATCACAGATATATTAGTTTTAAGTAAAAAAATATATAGGATTATACAGGGCGTTTCAAAAAACATGTGCCATCTTTTGTGGGAGATTCCCGACGTAAAAATTTTCAGGGTAAAAGATAAGTGCTACATATTTTAATACTAAAAAAGTGTCGATAGATTCACCAGGGACATGCACATGGGTTATAACTTGGAGTTTTTTTTTAAAAATTGTGCAGCACTGACTTTTCGTTCCCTTGTTAGCAAGGTTGTGTAGACCGTTTAATGCGGATTGACCGTTGTATCTTGACATTTTTTCGATTTCGATACAAGGATATTAATAAATAACTTATTTAATCTAATATATTATTCAGTTTTATATCACTAATGTATAGTGCTACCCGCAGCAAATTCCAAAAATTGGGTTTTAAGAAAATCAACCTATTTTTAAAAGATTTAACATCCAGAAAACTATGCATTTCCGCACCTATGTTTTTAAGAACTTTTTTCTCATATTTCTTTAACACTTTGGCCAGTTAATGACATTAGAAAAATTTAAAGGTTCCTATTAGACTTGGCTAAAGCAGGCAAATTAATAAAATTGCGTTTATCTCATCAAGGAGACAAATATAAAGAGACAACTTCTAATCAACATTAAACATCCTACAAAATTTTGCTAACAAGGGAAAAATCAATTGCGTACATGTTTTTCTTAACAAAATATTCCAGTAATAATCCATGTGCACGTTCCTGGTGAATATGTCGACACTTTTTTTCCCTTAGTACTTTATCTTTATTTCCTTCGAATGAAGTCAATATAAAAAATAAATATTATTCTTACGTGAAGAATCTCCCCACAAGGGAAGACATATGTTTTTTGAAAGACCCTGTATATGACACTGTGTACCTATAACTACTGTACTTAAAACTTAACTCAATTCGGCTTAGATTCAAACTCTCTATCTCTGGTTCTCTCACGCCCCCGGTCTCCCCTACTTACTGATCATCGTCCCTCACTAACCGCTTGACTGCTCTTCTCTGCCCTCTTCTAGGCCACGATGCTGAAGAAAAAAAAGTTCAAGCGCCGCCCAACCGAGCCGATCCTCGAACCGCCGCAGGTAGCCGCGGGGTCAGCGGCGGGGGGCTCCGCGTGCCCCCCAGAGGCCGCGCAGGACTTCAGCGCTAACGGGGAGGAGGGCCCCACCGCATCTAGACCCACACCCTTGACCGACGATCCACCCCCCCAACCCTCTCCCGCACCCCAACACCACCAACAGACACAAGCCACCCCTTTCGATCAGAATTCCGCGTAAACTCGCCCGTTTTTTAAGGCAAACGACATTTTTTAGGGCAAAAGGGAATTATTCAGACTGTTTTAGTTTAGTTTGTTTTCCAACTCGCCTAATTTTAGAGTAAACGGTTTTTTTTTATGGCAAACACTCTTTTCCAGTATTTCAGTATTTAAAAAACATTGTTTAAAATTTTAAGGTAAATAATATTTTTTTCGGGCAATAGTCTATTTTTCATCTAACCCAATAAAAATGTTGAATATTTAAAAAGAATATAAGAAAAATCGATTACCCTAAAATAGTGTCAACAATATTTTTTCACTTACCCTAAAAATATTGTTTACTCTAAAATACATTATTTAAATTTTAGGATAAATACTATTTTTTAGGGTAATAACACAAAAATATCGTTTACCCTAGTTTAGGGTAAACTATATATTTTTTTTCAATTACCCTAAAAAATATTGTTTACCCTAAAATAGAGAAAACTATCAGCGTATATTTTTCTCTGTTTCAACAAGATTTAGGGCAAATAAGATTTTTTTAGGGCAAGCGGAAAAATTGTAGTCCATTTTTATATTTTCCAGGACACGCAACGCATTTTAAATTACAACGTTTATTAATTTAGAGCAAATAATTTTTTTTAAGGGAAGCCGGAAAGTTACTGTTACGTCCTATTGTTTATCCTTACTTATCCCTCAATATTCCTGGTAGCTAAATTATATTCTGCCAATTTTAGGGCAATTGGGAAAGCTATATTTTCCGTAAATTTTTCTAGCTTTCCGAGTTTTTTCCGTTTATAATCATCTTATTAACAATTCCCTTTTATTAAAAAATATTTTTAAAAATATCCTTATTAACCATTAGACGCTTTCTCCCTATGTTCATCATCATTTTTTTTTCTTAAAGCCTTTTTACATTACTCTTATTTAATATTATATACCGTTATTTAAATGAAACGTAATTCAGTATACAGACTGTAATTTTGTTTATATATTTTAGAAAACAAAAGTATCCGAGAATATTATAAAAAATGTTTCAATTTTTTTTTATAAAAGCAGTCAATTAAAACAGTTAATTTTAAATTCTCAACTCAACATACAAGACTTGAGTCTAGAGTTTAAAATAAAGTATTTTTAACTACTTAAACTTATGATTTTTAACATTACACAAAATCCTGATTACTGCACTACTGAGTCTGAAAATACTGGATTATTTTTAAAACAAGCACAAAAAAACACTCTTAAATAAAAATTTAAACAGAAAAAACTACTGGGCGAGCACAAAATTTAATAATAAAACAAAGAAATCTGTTTATCACAGACTTCGTAATAAAAACAAAGGTGTAAACTGGTTTTTAGACATATATAGAGCATGCCGTTTGCTTGACCTCTCACTTCTTGCGACCTGTCTCTCTTTCTTTTTTGAGTAATAGTTTTCGAAACCGAAGAAAAAATGTCCTTTCTTTTACCTTAAATTCGACTCTCCTCCCCTCCGCAGGCCACCATGCTGAAGAAGATGAAGAGGCGCATGAAGCGGAGGAACACGGAGCCATCGATGGCCATTGCCGGTGCCGGGGACAGGAACCTGGAGACTCTGCCGTCGCCGTCTAATGGAGGCGAGGCATCGCCCACCGACCTAGAGCAGACGCTCTTTTAAAAAGTGACAAAAAACACAAAGACTAAAGACAGTTTAGTATCTCTATTTATTGTATTTATTTGTTTTAGTTAAAATTCTCTGTTTGATAGGATTGTGTCATTTAGTCGTAGAGTAGACGTCGAATGGGAGTTTTTAACGAATAAAAGCTTGTATAAATTTTAGGGTAATACAGACCTAATTTTTTTATGATAAATGATTTTCTTACCTGGAAATTTTAGGATAAATTATTTTTTTACCTGAAAATTTTGGGGTAAATGATTTTCTTACCTGAAAATTTAGGGTAAATTATTGTCTTGCCTGAAAATTTTAGGTGCAAATGATTTTCTTACTTGAAAATTTTAGAGTAAATGATTTTCTTACCTGAAAATTTAGGGTAAATTATTTTCTTGCCTGAAAATTTTAGGGTAAATGATTTTCTTACTTGAAAATTTTAGGGTAAGTTATTTTCTTGCCTAAAAATTTTAGAGTAGATGATTTTCTTACCTGAAAATTTTAGGGTAAATTATATTCTTACCTGAACATTTTAGGGTAAATTATATTCTTACCTGAAAATTTTAGGGTAAATTATTTTCTTACTTAAAAATTTTAGGGTAAATAACACTAAAGTGTTGTGTCAAACTAAAACAACTTGTGTAAAATTTAGGGCAAATGGGAAAATTTACACCTAGAAATTATAGGGTAAATGGAAAACTTACTTCAGATAAAAATTTATTCAAATAGACACTTAAAAAGATCTTTTTATTTGTATTCTTTCATGAATCAGCCATAAGGTACCAAAACACTGTAATCAAAGGTTTCAAGTCTAAATTCTATTTTTAAGAGAAAATAGGAAAAAGGAAAAAATATACAATATTAATTATAAAAAATCGTAACATATCCCTTTTTTATGTCAAACAGCTTGTGTAACTTGGTTAAAATTTAGGGTAAATGGAGAAACAATACGATAAAATTTCGGGGTAAATTCCAACAAACCTTTTATGAGTTTTGATGTTTGATTAACAAAGAAAAACAATCCCATTTGACGTGGACTCTGTGTTCGACACTGTATACTATGTTTTTATCTCCATGTAAAATGTAACAAGTATGGTCATTTTTACCAAGTTTTTACTACATTTTTACTGTTTCGTTGTTCGGACAGACACGAGTTTATGCTAATATTATTTATTTATTTATAGATATAATAAGAAAAACTTTTTCGAGCAGGTTTAGTTCTAGGATTGAGTAAAATGAATCAAACAAACCCTTATTACGCTTCTTCGTGTATAATATTTTATTTTTATACCCCAGAATGATGAGGACGATGTGCCAATAATTTCAGAAACATTGCTTATTGCAAGTGCCAATCGACTCGAGTGTGAAATTACGAGAAGTTTCGGTACAAAAAATATATTTTTAAATATTCTATCTCTATTTTTATTAGGTTTTAGCTCTTTAGAACTACAGCCTGTTCGAAAAGGACATAGTGGTGTGTGTGTATGAGTGTATTATTACAACAAAGAAGTGAAAATAATGGAATATAGGAAAGTATCTGCTCGAAGGATCATGCAGCCGTACGGCAAATATAGACTTTAAAATTCAAGTGCGTAATGTGCTTTCCTTTTGATGCTTTATAACATCAGTGTGATAAAAATTTGTCTTTATATAGACGCTGGTTGCCAAAAAAAAAAATAAAAATACATACAGAAAAACGGGTAACAGATCAGTAGACTCTATTTTGGGTGAGTCTTTGTCCAGAAAAATATATCTGTATTTTTATTTCGGACAAAGACTGCACCTCTTTGGGTCGTTCACCTCGAAACTTATTTAGTTCGGTCCTGCGCAAATCTAGATACAAGAGAATTTATTGGGTATGTCGCGTTTTGAACTGGGTGATTTTGAGGTAAAATGGCAATTTTTAATGAATCTCTTTGAAGGAATGTTTCGTGTTTGATGTGGGAATTAATTTTTTTTGTTGTTTGTGATGGTTTGATATAGAATTCTTGATGAAAAAATATTTTGTTGTGCTGGATTTTTTTACGTATAACAAATGTTTTTAAATTAATAACATGCACATTCTATTATTTACATAGAGCAGAACTTTATAAGAGAAATTCTTTGTCCCAAAATCAATTTAATCAAGAAATCGAGAAAAGAGCACTTAAGCACTTTTTTAAAATAAAAATACTACATTTAACATCTAAACAGAGTTTAATATAATATTAAGTTTCTTCGTTTAAATAAGTATATATTTTTAACGTAAAAAACTCCAACCAACTTGAAGCAAACAATCTCAATATACACTAAAAATGCAATTATTATATCGCTTCAATATCTAAAATATTACTCAAAAAGAATCATTAAAAAAACCCTTCTTTATTTCAAACAAACTTTTTTCAAACCGTGAAACACCCACTAAATTCACGAAATACTTTTCAGAATCCCAACAGGAATGTGCCTAAGCCCATAAACCCGCCTCGCCAGCTTTAATTCCCCTTTTTCCCCTCGAAACGCGGTGCTCCGAACCATGTTTCGAGGACCAGGGCTCAAAAAACGGGAAATTTCTGCTGGCGACGCGAAGCACCACGACAGCTGAACGTTAGGCTGAACGTTAGGCTGGTTATCCAGGTAACCACCCTAACGTTTCGACGTGTAACCCGCCGCAAGTCGCGTGGGGCTCAATTTCGTACGCGAGCATCCTGGAGCATACGCGTACGGAGAGCGACTCAAGACGGGTTCTCGACAATTAAGTAATAATAATAACCTTAATTTCTCTACTATAGCCTAGAACCTAGGTTATTATAGTACCTACTACTACATACCTTATTATTATTATTATGATTAAATCGATTACTATTGGATGTGGAAAGCTATCATTGTTTTACTGTAAATTATAATATAAATATATATAAATATTTCAGGTTAGTACTTAAATTGTAGAAGCGAGCGCGGGTTCCTGGCTGGGGTTCCTCGTGGTGGTACCAGGGGAGGGGATGGGGTCCAGTGACGTGTCCGAGGCATACGCAAAGGGTTCCTGAGGAACCGGTGAGACACGAGGGCTCGTTCCTTCTCTTTTACCACTCGTAAGGCTCCGGTCCAGGGACATTTATTTATGTAAAGTATAATGAATGTTACGATAGTTAACTTAAACCATAGTAAAATAGAGACTATTAAATATAAATGTGTTTTATTTTTCCCATTTTTCATTTAAATTCTATCTAGATGGCAGTAAAATAAAAAATGATTGAAAGAATTAGGAAGATACGCAACCTAATGGGCGAATTCGTGACAAATCTGATTTGATTTCCCCTTAGGTCACAAGTGCTGTACAGGGTGAGTCAACGATAGAGTAAAGTCCATTATCTCATTTGTTTCGAGGTTTACAAAAAAATGTTAAATACAAAAGTTATAGGGAAGGTTAAGAAACACATTTTAAAATTACTATAGAGTATACAGGGTGCTTCAAAGAAGTGTGGCGGATATAACATATGTTTTTTTAAAGGCAACACCCTATTTTTTATTTGATTTTTAGATTCTGCGTAAAATTCTATAACTTTTTTATATATAACGTTTTATACCTAAAATTAATAGTTTTTGTAATATTTAAATTTGTTTATACAAATGTTAAATTGCAGTGTGGTAAAAAATTGTCAGTGGTACCATTGTTTCTGAAGTTGGAATACCAAAATTTGGTATGAGAGTTATATAGAGATTAAAAAGAAGATATATGTTAAGATATTTTAGTTAAATGCTACATAGTGTTCAAAATATATTTATAAATTTCAACTACTTAAAATTAAAAAATCTAAAATTTTTTAAATGATACACCCTATATATTTTGATTTGTTCTGATAGATTTTGCAAAGCTCTTCAACTTTTATTAAGTATGTCATATACCTATTTTTAATAATTTGCGATTTATTCCAACTTTTTCTATTTTTACCCATATCTTTAATACAGTTACGCTATAACATCATAGTTACCATGACAAAAAATAATAATTTTATTACTATAAGAATAGATGTAGATTATCTAGAAAACATTTTTATATTATATTATACTATAATATTTTCAGTGTGTAATGGGACGGTTTTGTGGCAGTAGTAATATTGGCTTTACGAAATGAATTATAAACCTAAATTACAACGAGAAAAAAACTTTACTGTATGTCGGAGAAAATTTCAATATCAGTAGTCGTCAAAAATTGGGTAATCTAGTTAGTATTATCCTAATCTGTGGCTATTCGGCCCGACGGAAAATCCAAATGTCATCTTTCATAATATAGAAATACACCAAGAAATTCACGACTACGATTTTAGTTTATTTGAGTAAAGTTAGTTAATTTTGACTAATAATAACAATTGTAACCAATTATTAAACTACTTGATAAAAATAAGTAATAAATATGTTTGTTTTGTCACGGTAACTATGATGTTATAGCGTAATTGTATTAAAAATTAGGGTAAAAATAGAAAAAAATGGAATACATCGCAAACTATTAAAAATAGGTATATGACAAACTTAATTAAAAGTTGAAGAGCTTTGCAAAATCTACCAGAAAAAATAAAAATATATAGGGTGTACCATTTAAAAAATTTGAGATTTTTTAATTTTAAGTAGTTGAAATTCATAAATATACTTTGAACACCCTGTAGCATTTAACTAAAATATCTTAACATATATCTTCTTTTTAATCTCTATAGAACTCTCATACCAAATTTTGGTATTCCAACTTCAGAAACAATGGTACAGCTGACAATTTTTTACCACACTGCAATTTAACATTTGTATAAGCAAATTTAAATATTACAAAAACTATTAATTTTAGGTATATAATATATATAAAAAAGTTATAGAATTTTACGCAAAATCTAAAAATAAAATAAAAAATAGGATGTTGCATTTAAAAAAACATATGTTATATCCGCCACACATTTTTGAAGTACCCTGTATACTATATAATAATTTTAAAATGTGTATCTTAACTTTCCCTATAACTTTTGTATTTAACATTTTTTTGTAAACCTCGAAACAACTGAGATAATGGACTTTACTCTATCGTTGGCTCACTCTGTACAGTGGAGACACCAATCGTTCTGCGGTCAACGCATAAAACACTTATTTTCTCTAATTCGGCCCAGCGAAGACATATCGAAGTGTAGATCTGTAAGCGACAGTGTTGCCATATTAAAATGTGTAATATCTGAAAAATCCTCTCCAAAAAGTTCTGGCAACACTGTCTCCGGCCTGTCACTCACTCTGTCAAGCGACTATCAGCGCGCAGTGGCGCAGAACTAAACTAAATCTCGGAATTCTCAGACAAGCTGACGGTAAAGCCAGCTACATCTCAGACAAGTTAAGTGCCACGAAATAGCCCATAAGGGTGCGCATCTTTAGTTTTGTCTTACGAGTTTTTGGTTTAAATGAATAATTTTGTTGTGATACTTTAAGCTTAAAAATGTTTACTAGCAGTCCTTGGAGTCGAACATTGTTCTTTTTAGAACTTCTTTTAGTGCAAACTGTATAAGATAGCTTAATAGGGGCTGCAAAAATATCATTGCAACCTTATTAGAATATTTTGAACGGGAAAGCGATAGTAATGGACCTTTATGTCCCTTAAGCGCTGTTAAGGAGATGAGTTTTGTTGATATAAATAATAACTGTTAATGTATTTATAATGAATTTATTTTTGTTTCTCCTAAAATAATTTTGATTAAAAGACAATCTGTAAAATTGGGCAACGCTGTGTATGAACTATACATTGTTTTATTTATTTTACATTTCAATAAAACAAAATATTTAATACAAAATAATATACTATAAAAATGTTATTAAACAATAACATAATATAAACTAAATTAATTTAGATAAATACCTTTCTGATTAAAATGTACAGTACAAAATGACTCGCAAAGCTTATTCTAATTAACAGAATAATATTTAGATCTTATAGCAATAACAAGCATCTCTTGTGTTGTGGGTTATCCAAGTCAGATGTTCATTAATAGCTGTGTAATATACTAAATTCTCAGGCTTCTCACAATCATTGTAGTCTGCCAGAATACCTAAAATTATAATTAACATCCAAATATTTTATAATCGTATCCAAATATATTATGTAACAAACAAAAAACACCTCTCAACTCTTTATCCTATAGTTTAATTTATTTTACCTAACAGTTCGTATGTGCCTCCATATGATCTAAACATAACTGGCCCTCCTGCATCATCCTAAAGTATAACAATATTATAAAAAGAAAAAGTTACAATTTAAAAATCTAATTTGATTATAGTTAGCTGTTCAACGATAGAATACGTGATATAGTCGATATAGTCTATAAAATGAATAACTTTGAATTTTGACCGTTATTTCTTACCAACACGGCAAATATAAAATCCCTCTGTCAAAAAAGTTACTGATATTCTTTAAATTGAGTGCCTGAACAAATCAGATAGGTAACTCTTTTTACTTTCGTGAAATAGAAAAGGAAAATAATAAAAAAAGTGACAGTTTTTCCTCTTCTTCCAAAAATCAACCCGAAATGTCATAATTGTCAAAGGTAAAATGTCATCAGCTTTTGACATTTCTAAATATCAGACCAATGCCGTCTCTAATAGAACAGCCTCGGAGCGAGATTTATGACGTTACGCTAGTTAGATACTATGGATTAATAAATATGTTGTAGAATACATGGAGAACATAACTATTCCTCGTATTTTTGGTTTGTATTTTAAAATCTTGTATACCGAACGACTCTAGTATAGCAAGCTGTACCTTGCTACTCCCAAGGCGTTAAACGCTATATACGGGAGCTATTATTATTATATTATATATATATATATATATATATATATATATATATATATATATATATATATATATATATATATATATATATATATATATATATATATATATAGCGTGACGTCATAAATCCCGCTCAGAGGCTGTTCTATTAGAGACGGCATTGCGTCAGCATGGCTGCAAGTTGCTAACCTAATAAAATAAACACTAAAAAAGCCCGCGGGAACTGTGAAATTCAAAGTTATTCATTTGACAGACTATAATGACTCTCTGTGCTGCCGTTAAAAATAACAGCAACTAAAAAAATTAAAACATAGATAAAAGAAACAATTTTAGATTGGAAAGTGCCCATAAGGACTATGTAAATACTATTTGGCGCTATTCTTACAACGGTCGCTCTCCAAAGCTTTGATAATTTCGGAGCGGTTCGGCTTTTACCGGAATTACGTCGCCAAATATTACTTATTCAAATTTATTATTATTTTCTTATAATTTAAAAAAAATAGTCTGTTGCATATAAGAAAATTTATTTTATATAAGGACGTGCATGAAATAACTTTGAAACATTGGAAACCGACGTTATGTCACGATCCACGATGGTTTTTGCAGTTCACAGTTCACAGAGCTTTTTAATTTTTTTTTTCAAGGGGTTTGTGTAAATAAAATTTAAATTAAACTCACAAAATAGCAATAATTACTTTAAAAATAAACGCTTTAAACACTTTTCGGTATTTTTTTAATGAGGGCGGTTTAAATTTTAAAGCTTCATTCAGAACCTCGAAATCAGTGGAATAAATGAGTAGTTTCAATTAGCCGTAGAAGTTTGTTCACCTAATTTTAATGTACGCATTCAGAACGTCATAATTAGTGATAGGCATTTTCAGTTACTGGAAAAAGTTAACAAACTTTTGACTTTTCCACTAATTATACTTCAAAATTTGCGAGGAATGTCATTTTGGCCTTTGATTATCACCCGTCAATAAAAATTTTGGTTAGAAATCAAAAGTTTATTGTTTCATAACTTTGAATAAGAAGACTAAGGAAGGAGCATAATGCTATCCATGTATTCATGCATGGTGGGCGGAAAAGCCACCATAAAACCTCTCTAGGGTGGGGATCCTTGACAGTTCTGTTTGACGATTCATTTGACACATTTGAATTTGATTTGAAATTTTATGGATTTGTCAGTCTTTACGGAGCATATTTTATGTTATTTATTATTTATTCTACTACTGATAGTTGTATAAAGGTAGTAAATCTAGATGGAAATTGTGGCAGAACTTAAATTAACAGTGACACTATCGCGATTTATCGAAAAAGACTCTAAAATAGTTGGTTGTGTAGCGGGCGGTAGATCTCGGCAAAAATTGAGTGAAATAATGGAACAACTTTTCGCTAGTAAGTGACTATATAATATACATACGTGTAGTAAACCGATCATTTATGAAATTCACTTAAATTAACTAAATACGTTAATTTGACTTACCTGCTTCAGTAGCGTATCGGATGTTTGTGTTAATAAATACTTATTATAACTTATCTATTTTTATTAGAATTATATATTTTTATAACAATTTTAATAACTACCAACGTTTATTCACAACGTAAAATAAAACAACAAATTATTGAGTCTACCCCACGTCTACCCTACATCATAGTTTTACATTTTTTAAATAAAATTAGAACGACACTGATAAACCGGAATTTAAGTCGGCCATATTTGAGGCCCATCGCGGTGTACCTAAGATTTTTGATATGCTCCTTCCTTAGTCTTCTTATTCAAAGTTTCATAAGCTAAATATTATGCTTTCTCTATGGATACAACAGACTACCGCAAGCTGTTGCTAAGATATTTTATTAATTTTAATTGTGTTTTTTAGACATTGTGAATGATCGTAAACTAAAAAGTATAAAGTGTAATTGAAACCACTAATTTATTCCACTAATTGGGAGGTTCTGAATGAAGCTTAAGAGATTTTATAATTGTGACTTTGACATGAGAAAATTATTTCTGTTCTTGTTTGCGGTTGTTCAGAGCAACCGCTATAGCAGCGCCCTACAACGTATGAGCTTCAAAACACCTGGCAGCTCCATTTTAATCAATTTGTGGGCAATCGAAAAAGAGCTGCTCGGTTCTTGCTGCAAACCCAGAGCAAAGCAGCTCTAACGTCTAAGGTCGCCATTTATGTACTGCTATATTGAGAGAACTGATGGTTGCAGGAAACGATCTCATTTTCGAAAAAAAAGTGGAGCTGCCTGTTCAATTATAACAAGTTCTGGCGGCAAGCCAAGTATTCCAATCTAAACTTGTTTCCTTTATCTATGGTTCCATGATAATATACGTGACAGTGACAGCTAGCTGCCGTCATTTTAGTTCAAAAGTAAATTATTTTTCTGTCAAATGTAAGATGTCATCTGTCAAAATAATTATTTTTCTCGTTAGACAGACTCTGTGATTCAGTTAGGTGATAAAATATAATTCTATTGTTCGATACAATTCATAATTTTGAGTTTGTTGTGAATAAAATTGAATTAGACAATAATTGAAACAAAGAAGGCAATATTTACCGAACAAATTAAACTTTTTGCACCAACCACTCCTGCACATTGTTTATCCTGCGTAACAAGGTGATTATTTTCTGAGAAGGAACTACAAGTTTTCTGATCCAACACTGGCAAACCTATCTTTCTACCCACACATTGGTCGTTGTTTTTTTTCGGCCAACCAAGAATGGTGGCAACTTGTCCTAGATATCTGATACCTACAAATACCACTTATTAAATTCAATCTAAATGCTACACTACTCTTTGGCAGCAATAAAGAGGTCCACATTTATAAAGGCATCAATACCGGGTGTGTCTCAAAAGTGACTCATCCTTATAACTTTTTTATTTATTCAGAAAAAACAACGAGATTTGGAGTGTTAGTATATGACATAAATTGTTTTTGATCACTTCCTGTTTCACCGGAAATTACTACAACTTTTGACTAACACCCTCGCTATATTTCTACTTTATTCGATAGAAAATGACACTCTGAATAGAATGACACATCATATGTCAATTTTTGACATTTTCGCATATGGTTTATTTGAAATTGTAACGTACAGTTCGTAACAACTATTTGACTCGAAAAGTGTACGGTGCCAAATTATTCGTAAAAAAATGCCTTTCCAAATATGCTAATAAGCCACCTTTGTTCCATTTGAAAAAAATGAGATATGATTAAAAATACTACTTGGCATCTTTTAACCGGCCAGAGCGAGCCACAAAAAACATTAGACAATTAGAACTATTTTTCAAAGGCTACTTGATTAAAAATTAGTGTTTTTAACACAGCCATTACACTCTAGATTGAAATTTGACATAGAGTTGGCATATGATATGTCACTTTATTCAAAGTATCCATTTTCTATAGAATAAAGTACAAATAGACCGAGGGTGCCATTTAAAAATCAAAAGTTATAGTCAGTCAAAAGTATTTCAGAAAAATAACTACTTACTAGGAGTTGGTAGGCAGATCGGCTGTATACGTCTCTCAAAATTTACCTGCCCATTAAATTTGATCAGGGCTAAGTCATGAGCTCTGGTTGTCTCTGAAAAATCAGGATGGAGCACTATTTTTTCTACGCTGACATTCATGGATGATGTGTCAGGAAAGCACTTGTCATATTGTCCTAAAGTGACTTTCAAGTCAAGTGGTGTTAATCTAAAATTGATCTGATTAATATGTATAAGTTTTGTAAAAAAATTACAAACTTAAGCATGTCTATTTTCTTCTACCTGTATAGTAAAAATTTCTAGGCAACACAGCAACAATATTAATACTCTGAAATTTAACATTTAAAAAAAATAACTTTTATTGTCTTTATATTCTGATTTGCCCAAATACGACAGTAAGGATAGTTATATCATGCTATTCTTCGTTACAAAATACCGTATAATCGAAAAAAAAACAGTTCCAGTTGACTTGGAAATGACGATCTATGACATTTCCCATATAATTTTACATGTAAACTGACAGCGATCTTCATCCCATAGCCATCGCTGATGCCGTTTTTTTTTCGATCATACGGTATTAATTCAGTATATCATATACACTCTCGATATAATATAAGATGGTATGAAAGCTGGTCTTCATCATCCCAACTGTTCTTAGAGAACCATTGAAGAAAACACAGGACTTGGTCCTAACGTACAAAGAAGAAGATATACACTCACCGGTACGAAAAACGAACACCTTAAAATTTTGATATATTTTAAAGTTTTATATATTTTGTTCTAGAGGGCCGATTTTGATGATTTTTTAAACAATTTTTAGCTAAATTATTTGACTTTTTAGCATCTCTTTCCAAATTAAAAATAAAAGTTGCCATCTGTCAAAAAAAACAACCCGTTATTGTATAAAATAGCTTCATCGATAAAGCATTTACACAACAAACAAAAGCACAAAAAAAATATATACAAATAATAAAAAAATATCATACAATACAAATCAATTCAATAAAATTTACGTTCATTAAAATCACAAATAAAACATAAATGGACATTGCAGAACACAGGCGTATCAATAAAATTTTACAAAAGGAAAATTGTAAATGGATAAAATCATGTAAGAGTTATAAAATACTATACCTTTAAAATAAGACTGACAATATTATTTGTATAATGTCTTGTATTATCTTTTGTTTGTTTGTTTGTGTACCTTGTTTTTTTTTACTTTGTTTGTTAGTTTACCTTTGTCTACAAATTGAAAAATTTTTTGACAATAAAGGCTTTTATTTATTTATTTATTTATTTATTTATTTATTTAACCAGTATGTGAGATGATCAAAATTTAAAATTCAAAAATTGTTCATGATTAAACATCAACAAAAAAGTCGTTTACCGCATATAGGGCTCTCTTCAGTAAGTATGATTTCAGAGCTTTGCGAAATGCGAGAAAGAATGAAAGTGACTTGATATTCAAGGGCAGATGATTGTACAGTTTTTTGGCATTGTACAGTATTGAGCCTTTAACTAGTTCTGAGCTCGGGGTTGGCCGATAAAGATCGTGCTCCGCATTGGATAGTTGTGAGATGGCCTTTCAGGAATAGCAGATATGTGCTTGCGGATTAAGCAAACGGATTCAAAAACGAATAAAGAAGGAAGAGTCAGTATTTTGAAATTTTTAAAGAAATTCTGGCAGTGAGTTCTACTGTTCAGTCCCAATAAATATCGAACTGCTCTCTTTTGAAGTCTGAAAATACGATCAAATTTTGTTGCGCAGCAAGTACCCCAGAGTGGAAGGGCATAACGAAGATGTGACTCAAAAAGGGCATAATAGGCTATTCTAGAGGTTGAGAAGTTAAGCTCCTTAGAAACTGATTTTAGCGCAAAACAGGCAGCGCTTAGTTTCTTTGATAGAGCTTCGATGTGAAAGTCCCATTTTAACGAGTTGTCTACAACAAGTCCTAACAATTTCACAGAGTTCACGACGTATATAGTGGTGTTATTAAGTACAAAAGGTTGTATAGTACTTTTATATGACAAAACTTTAGTTTTTAATAGGTTGAGGCATAGGAGATTATTCAACGGGTAGGAAACAGTAGGAATTCAAAGAAATGTTTTCATTTTACTGATATAATATCTCGAGATTTAACAATCTAAATCTTAGATTAGGTATATTCAAGACTTTAGTTTGTGGTATATTGTTAATACTGTGAAATATAAATCTCTTAACCTCGAAAATAATGAAACGCTTCCCTGCTCAGTATGCAATATTATTTTTATTATTCCAAATTCTTACCCTAAAACCCGGGAAGCTGCAGTAACAATGTATCGATTATTGAGCAGCGTTCCTTGGATTTCTTCTGCAGTGTTGTTGCGAAAGGCATGGATAGTGGAAGACCATGGAAATTCGTGGTTCATCGTCAACTCTCCACCTAGAATTCTAGCCTGTCTGTTCGGCACACCACATCCTAAAAATATAAATCTTCCGTTATAATTAACCAACAACTTTATTTATCATTATTAACAATATCACAGTAACACGTTGTATAAAAAGCAAAACAATTTCTATTGTCTAAAATATCTATCTATCTATCTATATCTCGATCTAGTCTATTAAGAAGATGTTGAGGAAGATCTGCCATTTTTTATGTTTTTATCATACTTAACTGCATTTACAAGGACTTGTAAAAAAATCCAACAGCAATATCTTACTTTTAGCTATAGATTGGATACTAACAACCTGGAAATAAAAAATTAGAATAATTAACTAATTTTTGGTAATAAAATATTTAGAAATCTTTAATAAATATAACATTTACGAAACTTAAGGTTTGATTTGGTTTGAAACATTATAAGTTATAAAAATACCGTATGATGAAAAAAAGGCGTCCAGTTGGCATTGAAATGACGATCGATGACACTTTCCATATATCTTTACATATAAAATGACAGCGATCTTCATTTTACATATAGCACCGTATGATCGAAAAAAACCGGCGTCAAAAACGACTGGGAAATGTCAATTGATGATGATTTCGGCGAGGTCAATCTCTAGAATTTACTAAAAACTGACATAAAACTTGTCAAAAATAAACACTAATTATAAAAAGATTAAAAAAATAGAACGTTTTCAGACCCTAAAAACTCTATTTCCAAAAATATATTTTTTCTCGAATTTCAAACTAAACCTTTTAAAAATCATTTTTACTCATTATAAAAGTAAATTACAACCTTCATAAGCCTACTGGCAGTAAGCGTCGTTAAAAATAAATAGTACGGGCCAAGTAAATGACGTCTAGGGCTTGACCACATCAAAATTATCATTGATTGTCATTCCCCAGCCATCCCTGACGCCGTTTTATTTCGGATCGTATGGTAATTTGTTTACTATCAGAGAGATACTGCATAGGTGTTATTATTTACTTACCAGATAGCAGAAAAGTAAACACAACGCTGTGTGCTTTAAACTCATAATTTCATTTGGTAGTGACAGTATAAAGGTAAGTAGACAAAATAAAACAGTAGAAAAAAAAGTTTGTTATTATACGCATATTTTAATCATGGAGGTACGGTTTTATAAGGGTAATTTGCATTTAGGATTCACAATTTCTGTACTATTTTTGCAAAATATATTTTTATCTGTTTTTAATAGCTATTGTACAATAATTACACACTGAATATATTTTATTTATTCAAATTAGGCGAGAAAGTATTCAATAATGTTGAAAATACTATAGTAAGATATTATTTATGTCATGACAACCTTGTTAACGAAACAAAATCATTCAAAAGACTTGATTAATGTACCGTGTGTTGCATCGTCGACCTGGATATAGGACGTCCATAGGATAAAGGATAAATTTTAAAAATGATGAATAAGTTTTTCCCATTTTATTTTACAGAAAAATATATTTGAAACTTTTTAAGGAACTCCTTAAAATGAAGCAAATTGTTCATTGTTTATACGAATTCGTTCTTGAGTCATGAGAGATACAATAGTACTAAATTAGGCGGAAATTTTTTCTTGCATTTTCGCTTTTATTTACAACTTATCAAAAATAATTAGGATACGTCAATTTGACTTAGGTGTTTCAGTAGCGTATCAGATATCCTTGTTATTAAATCATCTGAGAAACCGTTAAAAATTTTGAAATACCCTAAATAGAAAAATGTTATATTTTTTATTTCTCCATCTAATAAAAAAATATACAGGGTATTCCATTTAAAAATACGAAGAAAAATTATTTTATACTTTAGAAAGATTGCGATAGGATTTTGAACACTCTGTATGATTTAAGATTACGATATTTATAGCAAAGTAAGTATATACGATCAAAAGTAAATACCTAATATAGTTTTGGTTTCAGAACAATTCTTGTATTTGTATTAATTTTTTTAAGAAAGGTTATAATATATACCGGGTGGGTCTCAAAAGTGGCTCAGTCCTATAACTTTTTTATTTTTTCAGATAAAAAAACGAGATTTGGTATACGACATAAATTAGGATTGATTGACACATTCAATTGTTTTTGGTCACTTCCTGTTTCACCGGAAATGACTACAACTTTTGATTTTTAAATGGCACCCTCGGTATTTTTTTACTTTATTCGATACAAAATAACACTCTGAATAGAATGACATATTATATGTCAACTTTTGACATTTACGCATATGTGTGGTATCAAATTATTCGTAAAAAGATGCTTTTTCTAAATATGCTCATGAACCACCCTCGTTCCATTTGAAAAAATTTAGATATGATTAAAAATACGATTTGAGCTTTTTGTAACTAGCCAGGACAAGACACTAAAACATTAGACGATGAAATCTATTTTTCCAAGCCTTCTTGATTAAGAATTAGTGTTTTTAACATAGCCCTGGCCCTCTAGATTGAATTTTAAAATACGATTTTTTATTAAGCGAGAATGTCAAAAGTTAGTTAAATAGAATGACATATGATATGTCATTCTATTCAGAATGTCATTTTCTATCGAATAAAGTAAAAAATACCGAGGGTGCCATTTAAAAATCAAAAGTTGTAGTCATTTCCGGTGGAACAGGAAGTGACCAAAAACAATTAAATGTGTCAATCAATCCTAATTTATGTCGTATACTAACATACCAAATCTCGTTTTTTTATCTGAAAAAATAAAAAAGTTATAGGGGTGAGCCACTTTTGAGACGCACCCGGTATATATTTTATCTATTTATTAATAGCTCTGAAACTATCGAAATGTATTTACTTATACCTTAAGATTATACAAGGTGATCTGAAAGGAAGCAAAAAAAGCAATAATATACAGTGTTTAAAAAAAATTATCCCGATCCACTCACACTTTTTGAGCCATCCTAGAAGTTAAAATATTTTTCTGAAATACATAGAATCCTCGTACATACGGCGGCGACTTTTTAAAAGATTATAAAAAATTATGTAAAAAGGATGTTAAAAATTAAAATGAAAACCGCAGCGTACGGCTCGGCTGCTCTTCGTCTGGTGAACAATAGGTGTAGGTTCATTTAATTATTTTTGCACCACTTAATTTAAGCCAAGTTAATGTGATATTTAAAAAATTAAGAAAATACCACAGGCTAAAAATGTTCAGTAATGATATATCTCAAATTAAAAGAGCAAAGTTTAATAAAAAAAAACTATGTATGTACATTTATTAATAATTAAATAACTCCAGTTTGAAAGTGAATAAAGAAAATACAATAAATTAATGTTATTTTGATATATGAAAACTTAATTTAAATATTACTAAATGTAAATTACCTAACGTAATCGTTGTGTAACTTTCATGAAAAGGTTTCAATAAAAAGGTCGTAGAAAGTTAAGAAAAAAGAGCAAAAAGATTCTAAAACAAAACGTAAATCAGTACTTAGCTTTTGCTCTGAAGCTGTAGTCAATCAGTGTTGATTTGGTATCGTACTTTGGCCCATATCCATTACGTAACTGCTTCAAACCATCAGAAAACTTGGAAATTTGCGGAAAAGGAGGGAAACTCGTCAATTCGCACCAGCCCCCAACAGAGAACCTTCACGGCACCATTCAGAAAAACCAAAAACTACTGTTGCTCTTAAAATCTTCTCAAAAAAACTACGCCCAAAATGTTCTCGTTTCATCCCAAAATCTACGCCCAAAATGTTCTCGTTTCCAAAACGAAAATTGCTCCCAAAATCTATCCCCAAAATGACAATTCTTCCCCTTAAGTTGTTAAGGGACACATCTATAATAAATGATTTTTTCTGACTTTTGAAGTATACGAAAGAAAGTAAAAGAAGAAAAACTATAACTTACTCGCAAACCTATTCTTCGCCACATACGATGTACAAAAACTTTTAGAGGAAGATGAGAACCACCCTGGGACTTCTTACCAGTGGTTAAAATGGAAGTGTCGAAAAATCCGAATAAAACGTTAAAATTCTGCCACAGATTATTTTTTGAAGACAAAAAATCAACACACACCAAACTATGCTCGAAATAAGGAAGGTTCGGGAAAGTTATTAATAACATTTAAAGAATAATTTAACTAATAATATAAATGGCAACCCTGAGCTTCCACATCGAACGGCGGTACAAACTAGGGATGGGCATTATTTGCTTAAATTCTGCTAGAGATGTAGCGCAAAAATAAGAAATTATTTTAGGCTGCTACAATACTTTGCACTGGTTTGCACTTAAATAAAATTCTTAAGTTCTTTATTATTCGTTGCTTTCACTTTAGTATTTAAATAAACACACACATATACAAATGCATACATACAAGATGGCTCCATTTTCTGGAAAAGCTCTGTACCAGGAATCCTATTTGAGATTTTCACTCCAAACCTTTTACAAAATATATGTTTAATGGTAGTTCACATTTCAAAAATATTTTTATAGATATACAGAGTGAGTCAAGTTTATATCATTTATTTATTCGAGTTTAGTGAATTTGCTATAAAAATCTGGTTCCAAAAATACCTTAATACCATAGAGTATATTAAATGATCTTTGAATTGTGACCACGTCCATGAGGACGTTAATATAGACGTCCAGGAACCTTCGTATGAGAACTTCTAATTGAGACGATCGACTTATTGTAGGTTTATCGCTAAGAAACCGTCGTTTGCCAGCTTTTCAAATTGATAATAAATTGCACTTAAGAACTGTACATATTAACAAACGGACTACAAGAAGAAGATTAAATGAAGCAAATCTTATGTCAAGAAGGCCTGCTTCGGGACCAGAACTAGATGTGTTGACTAGGCAAAAAAGCAAAGGCATGGTCTTAATGTAAAAATTACGAAAAATGTTAGTGCCTTCTTTAAAACCGAATATTTCCAACAAACATACAGCTAATGAGATGAACCAAAAAACAAACCATCGAGAAAGAATGTATCTAGATGATAAAATAATTTTTAAATTTCTTGCTGTTTTAACATATTTTACAGGGTGTTTCAAACTTTCATCAAAAATATCAACATTTTGTTTTCCCTCGTATAATTAACAGATGGGGAGTTTCATTTTTAATTTAGAAAAAGATACTAAGATGTTAAATAATTTGGCAACACACTGCTTAAAAAAATCATCAAAATCGGCCCATTAAAATAAAATATATTAACCTTTAAAATACATCAAAGTTTTAAGGTGCCCATTTTTCATGCCGGTGAATGTATTATAAAAACTATACATTTTAGTCACATCTAATGAAACAAACCTTTATTTTTTTACTAGAATCCAAAAATCAATTAATATATAGGGTGTTCCATTACAAAAAACATAACTTGTGATGTGTAACTTTTTTTGGTGACACACTGTAGAACTCTACATAATTTTAGAAAATACTTTAAATTGACTTACATAAGCTCAGAAAATTTCAGTTCAATATAAACTTTTGTTCTCCTTGTAAAAACCGCGTCGCATATGACGCGCCACCATGTATAATTCGATTTCAATCAAAATTTTAATGATTAGGATATAAGCCGAATAGGTATAGCTTATACATTAGATTTATTTATTTCAATAAATTTACTTAGAAAAAGAATTAAAAAAATCAAAATATTAAGAACGAAATAATTAAGAATTTACTAAAATTACTAAAATAAAAAATTAAAAGCAAAGAAAAAAAATGGGTAAACATTTTAGTATTTTATCTATAAAACACAATACAGAAGGTTTCATATTAATACATTCACAGTAATTGAATTCCGAGGTAAAAGTCTCTGTTGCACCCCACTAATTACCGGATATGATTTTTATAGTAAAAAAATATTGAATCGGTGTCTAGAACGAATCTATGTGTTTAATTGATCTAAGATTGATCTAAATAGATCTAAATCAACCTAGGAAGGAGCATAATGCTATCCACGTATTCATGCATGGGGGGCGGAAAAAGCACTCTAGGGTGGTCATCCTTGACAGTTCTGTTTGACGATTCATTTGACACATTTGAATTTGATTTGAAATTTTGTGGATTTGTCAGTCTTTACGGAGCTTATTTTATGTTATTTATTATTTATTCTAATACTGATAGTTGTATAAAGGTAGTAAATCTAGATGGAAATTGTGGCAGAACTTAAATTAACAGTGACACTATCGCGATTTATCGAAAAAGACTCTAAAATAGTTGGTTGTGTAGCGTGCGGTAGATCTCGGCAAAAATTGAGTGAAATAATGGAACAACTTTTCGCTAGTAAGTGACTATATAATATACATACATGTAGTAAACCGATCATTTATGAAATTCACTTAAATTAACTAAATTATATATTTTTCTTGCATTTTAGCTTTTACTTATTACTTGTCAAAGATTAGATGTCAAAGAATTTAGATACGTTAATTTGACTTACCTGCTTCAGTAGCGTATCGGATGTTTGTATTAATAAATAGTTATTATAACTTATCTATTTTTATTAGAATTATATATTTTTATAACAATTTTAATAACTACCAACATTTATTCACAACGTAAAATAAAACAACAAATTATTGAGTCTACACCACGTCTACCCTACATCATAGTTTTACATTTTTTAAATAAAATTAGAACGACACTGATAAACCGGAATTTAAGTCGGCCATATTTGAGGCCCATCGCGGTGTACCCATAGACAAACAAATAAAAAGAGACTGACAAATCTCATGGAAAAGAGTGGGACCGCGTTCCCGTAGCGCAACTCAGAATAACAATTTTGAAACCAATTAGCAGGACCAGGGCAGGACGTACGTCTTTATTGCTATCTTTCTTTATTATGTGTGCTTTATATGAAAAAGAAAGAGATAGGTATAAAAAGTATCGTAAGACATTACCGCACATTATTAGTAGTATTCTTTCATTCTGAAACTGAAAATTTTCACTTAAACTGGGGGAATAAATCAGTGACGAAATAAGTGAAAATTTGCAGTTTCTTTCAGAACGAAAGAATACTACTATTATAAGGGAAATTATAAAAAAAGCAAAAATTGTACTGTTTTATAAACATATTTATTTATACATAAAAATAAATAAACTTTTTATAATATAATAACAAAAAATAACAGTGTTTATTCCACCCACCTACCAATTTTAACTGCAGAAGAACTGACTGTTGCAGGAAACGATCGGCCAATTTTTTTAAAGGGCATTAAAAATCTCATTTTTGAAAAAATTGCCTAATTGCAATAACAAAGTGAATATCCAAGCAAAGAAGACTTTACGAGAATCATGATCCTGAACCATTTTCAAGTCCAGTTTTAATCCTAAAACAAAAGTAAATTAGGTATATTAATAAAGTTTCTGGTTACTATAAACCAGCTATAAACTACCTACCCAAAAAATGAAAAAAATTAATTGTATTAATTTGTTATGTTAAGAGAGGTTCGAAATATTTTTGACACTACTATAGGTACTTCTCCTTTTTTCTTAATAAGATGATAAATATATAACTACATACTTACTTTTATTTTACCGGGTGTCTTTAACATATCTATCAGAGAAAGGGGGCACCAATACATATAGAAAATAGATGATACTGGTTCCTGCAGCAAATAAAATAACAAATAGTATAACCTAAAATTATAAGTAACAAAATATAAGTACCTATATGAAACAAAGGAATTTGTTCCCTATCCATATTCATAAGTCAATAAAATGGAGAGTTTAGAAAAAAAGGTAAATCACCAAAAGAAAAATTAACAAACATGACGAATTGTCATGATGTTGTCATCTTGGTTGTCATGATGACGAAAACGAAAGGCGATTGTTATAATCATTGCCTGGAAACTTATATGGTGAAATTTTGATAAAATAATTTAGTACTCACTAAAAACACAGTATGTCGCTAGTGGTAGGAAAAATTATTTTTACAGGTTACTAGTTTATTTGGTTGCCTGCGATATGCATATACAGGGTGTTTCCTAATTAATCTAAAAAAATCGTTAGAAAACGGATTAAAGCTTGATTTTCGAATTTCTTAACCGTTTCTAACCAACCGAAGTTTTTAAATTCAACCAATAAAATTAATATCGTATCGTCGAACAACGGATGCATGAAAATCAAGCTGAAGGCGGGCTCTTAATAAGTATATTTATTTTTTTCTCGGCAACTGTTTGATGAACAAGAAAAACTCAAAAGATCAATTTTGTTGAAAAAGGATGACCAGCCAAGAAAAAAATATATTTTCTTTAAAAAAGCAGTAGTGTACCATTTATGTTAAGCAAAATATCGATTTTTTTTTAATTTTTAACACCCTGTAGATCAGAAAGGAAGTACTTTAGACCCAATGGTTATATAAAAATTGTTTTAAGGACACATGAGGAATCACACCACAATTTTTTAGACTAATTAGAAAACACCCTGTATATTGTCAACTTGACAATGATTGTTGATAAATCAAAAAATACCTTTTCTGTGAAAAAAGCCCGATTTTCGCAGGAAAAATTTTGGTTTTTATTGAATTTGGGCCTGCGTCTGCAAATACCAGTATGTTTTTTAATATTCTATCTATCTAAATTTTAAATATCATAGTCAGAAATAGTTTTATTATTAATTAACTGTAGAAATGGTATAGGTACTTATAAGTTTCATCAAATATTGTGATTTACTTTCTACCTTGTAGTCAAAATTTATATTCAATAAGAATTTATATATATATATATATATATATATATATATATATATATATATATATATATATATATATATATATATATATATATATATATATATATATATATATATATATATATATATTCATTATTATATATAATTATATTTCTTCTATTTTTATTCTTATTCTGTTTTATTAAAGTTACTCTGATATACTAATATATCAGTGTAACTTTAAAACTAAATCCTTTGAAATCAAATATAAACATAAAAAATATTTACAGCAGAAAAGGCGAAGGCGCTGGGTTAAACTTAGTCTCTACTAAGAACACGGAGGGGCGCTTTGACCCAAAATTTTACTATTAAGTTTCATATCTATCTTAATAGAAGATTGTTTTCTTTTATCTATGGTTCTAATTTCTATTTAGAAATTACGTTTTATATGGCTGCTGCTTCTTTCTCTCTTGTTATATTAGAATGAGATAGTGAGCCCAATAGACGCAATGCGCAGATCAACATATATAGAACGAAGTTTTGCGTTCTGAGTTGCGCTACGAGAACTACTTGTCCCTCTCATTGCCATTTAATTTGCCAGTCTCTTTTTATTTGTTTGTCTATGGGTGTACCTAAGATTTTTGATATGCTCCTTCCTTAGGCCCGGTTGTACAAACGGAGTTAATCCTGAGTTCACGATGATCTTAGGATCAACGGGTAAAAGACGTTGTACGTTATGGGTTCAGGTGCTGATCGACGATTGATCTTGAACGTCCGAATTTGGGCGTTCGAGGCCAGTTCAAGTCGTTTTAAATGATTATTATTGGGTTTGCTGGTAAGCAAAATGTAAATAAATAAATTAATTAATTAATTTATTGCAATCAAACATAATGGATCATCTGTGGGAAGATATTACGGACGACGAAGATTTTTTGGAATTGGTTCATCATGTTCTACATCCTCGAGCCCCACAAGTCTACAGAGATCGACCAGATCATTTCAACATTTGGAATGATACAGAATTTAAAGCAAGATTTAGGTTGGAGAAACAAGTTGTTAGATTTATAATAGATGAATTATCTGAACAAATCTCATCTGTTACAGACAGGTATAGTTTGTTACTAACCTGCCAAGTTTTAAGATGGACATAATTTATTTGTTACTCCTTTAGAAACCAAGCAGTAACCCCTACAGAAATGGTATGCACTGCTTTGCGTTTTTTAGCCACTGGGAGTTTTTACAAGTTGTTGGAGATTTCGGGGGCATCCATAAATCAACAGCCAGCCGAAAAATATATATGGTTCTAGAAGCAATTGCTCAGTTGGCACAACACTTTGTAAGAATGCCAAGAACTGAAGCTGAGTAACTAATGTTAGAAGAGGATTCTTTAATATTGCTAAATTACCAAGATGTGTTGGCGCTTTGGACTGCACTCACGTAAAAATTCAGTCGCCTGGGGGGATAGATGCTGAAAGTTACAGAAACAGAAAAGGATTTTTTTCATATAATGTTCAGGCCATTTGCAGCTCTGATCTCAAATTTCAGGACATAGTGTGTCGATGGCCAGGCTCTGCCCATGTTTCCAACATATTTAGGAATAGCAGAGTCAGAAATGACTTTGAAAATGGAGTGTATGGTGACAACTTACTTGTAGCTGATAGTTGTTATGCAATAAAACCATACGTTATAACACCTCTATTAAATCCTCATACACGAGCAGAACATCTATTTAATGAGGCACAAATACGAACAAGGAATCCTATTGAGAGATCGTTTGGAGTTTTAAAAAGGCAACAAATACTTTCTTTAGGAATACGCTTGAAGCAGGAAAAGGTAGAGGCTGTTGTTATGTCTACAGTGGTCCTTCACAATATAGCATTATCAATGGGAGATGTGGAGCCTCCAGAAATCAATGAAGAAATTGCAGCTGCAATAGAACTGACAAATAATGTCAATAATGACATGGTTGGACATGTACAAAGAGGAATCAACAATAGTGTTCGTTACACATTAATAAATACCTACTTTCAAAATTTGTTGTAGATATTTTCTAAAAAATGCTATATAGGAATGTACAAATATAAAATTTATCCTGTGGTAGATTACCAAAAATAAACATCATTGAAAATACAAATCTTTATTGAGAACAAAATAAGCTTAATTAATTAATTAAATCTTGCTCCTAAACAGAAAATCTGAAAAAAAATATTTTTTAATTGTTTTTATATTTACTCAGTTTGAAGGATATGCTGTTGGTTTTTTTCTTCTTTTTTCTTTGTAAACTTTAGTTCATGAAAACGGGAACTGGAACAACACTTGAGACTCTGAACTACGTTCAACGGTGAACTATAGATCACTGCAGTTCAAGAAAACTTCTGTTGAACCAGTCGTTGTACAACCGGCCCTTAGTCTTCTTATTCAAAGAAATCAACCCTTAACGGATACGCCAAATAACGCTACTATATCAATCATACGCTAATTTCAATCAAAATTACTGACATATTTGTCAAAGATATGACAATGTCGTTACAATATGTCGTACTTGTACGATAAGCCCTATATCATACCGATATGTATCGTCGTTTTGTACATTTTTTTATTGATTATATCGTAAGATTCTTTTTGTTAAAGTGGCATCAAGTGATTTTCACTATAATTCTTACATTTTCAGGTATAGCTTAGCTGTCGCTACTCGTCATGTTTACCCCGTATTTCCCTACGTGACTGACTTGAATGTTGTGAAACCGGAAAGTTCTTTTTTCGCTTTAATGTTTACTATTATAGCTGTTCTGAGTGAGTACAATTTTTCGACAAATATTAGAAATATCTGAAAAAAATAGAAAGTAGTCTAGTTATAATAGTAGTTCTTTAAGAGTCTATTACGCTGTACTTTCGAGTTGCCCTCAGGGGTAGGGTAAAGCGGGTGTGTAGCCGAAGGAAATATATACAAGGTGGCCCATCGAAAACGTTCCGCAAGGCATAACGACCAGGGTAATTTTTTTTTCAGAAAATTCAAAAACACGTCAATTTTGTTTGTGAGGGGGACAACTTTTGCCCCAAAAATGATTGCAAAATCTTCAACCCTTTAAGCGGGGGCGTCATTACCCATTTTTTTCAAATTGGAAGGGGGGTCAAGTAGTACCGCAATGAAAAGGGCTTTCTGTTCTCTATACTTTCCGGCTTCGTTTTTGAAAATCGGTCGAGTTATTGAGAAAATATGAAGGATTGAAATTTGAAAAGTTTATTTAAACATTTATCAGAGTAAATGAGACGGATAAATTTCTTCGACCAATTTGCTGTTTTTTCTTATTATTTCTAGATGTTTACGCATTTTTTCACTTGTCACAAGGTTGAACGATCAGATGCGGTAGTTGCTAGATAGCTGTTCTATGACTTATGCGTTGATTTTTTTTTTCAAAATCGTTAAATTTTTTAACAATAATTATGGTGTACTCACTTGCGGAAAAAGTGCAAATAATCGAACTTTATTTTAAAAATAATGAATGTGGCAATCGGGTTGCGCAGATATTCAATGAACGCCATCCTGACAACCACCTTTATGGCAAAATTGTTCGCGAGTTAGTAGCAAAGTGTCCAAAGGATATTAAAAAACGGAAGTTCCACCCGTACAAAATTCAGTTGGTACAAGAACTCAACGAAGACGATTTTGATCGTCGTTTGCAATTTTGTGGAACTATGAGTGAACGAGTGGCGAATGATAATAATTTTTTATTTAATGTGTGTTTTTTGGATGAGTGTAATTTCTTTTTGAACGGTGTAGTTAATCGGCACAACTGGTCGGTACTGGACTGAAGACAACCCCAGGGTTTTTCACGAGGTGCACACACAAAACCCTCATAAATTGAACGGTTGGGCTGGTATTTTTGGAAATTCTATTGTGAGTCAGTTTAACGATATTGAGAAGAACTTCAACGCACAAGTCACAAAACAGCTATCTAGCAACTACCGCACCTGATCGTTCAACCTTGTGGCAAGTGAAAAATGCGTAAACATAAGAAAAAAACTCAAATTGGTCGAAAGAATTTATCCTTATCCTTTACTCTGATAAATGTTTCAATAAACTTTTCAAATTTCAATCCCTCATATTTTCTCAATGACTCGACGGATTTTCAAAAACGACGCGGGGAAATATAAAGAATAGCAGTAACAATAATCAGCAGATGCTTTAAAGAGATTTTTGCTAATTTTTTGAATTGAACTTTTGGAATCAGAAAAGATAATAACACTACGCAAGTTCTTTTTAATAGCAAACTTTACTGCATCATGAATAGCTATGGTTTCTGCCTTACAAATACTTAAAGAATGAGGTAGTCGCGAAGAAAATTTAAAATTTATATATGGAATATATATTCCAAATCCTGTTCTTTTATCTTTTTTAGATGCATCTGTAAAAATAAAAATATGAGAATTTTTAAAACGTTCAGATACTGACAAAAATTGTTTCTTAATAGAAAAATCATGTTTATTAATTTGACAATCAACTAATTTAATAGAATCATTCAAAATATTAAAACTAACTTCATAACACGAAAAATTTTGACTAACATAAAGATTATCAATATAAGGCAGAAAGTCATGTAAAGCTGAGACCACATAAGGTACATTATTACTATTAATATAAATTGGATTAACAGTTTTTCTAATATTGTAAATTAAATTTATAATTATTTTCAAAAACGACGCGGGGAAATATAAAGAATAGAAAGGTCTTTTCATTGCGGTGCCACTTGACCCCCCTTCCCATTTGAAAAAAGTTGGGGGATGACACCCCCGCTTAGAGGGTTGAAGATTTCGCAATCATTTTTGGGGCAAAAGTTGTCTTGCTCACAAACGAACTTTTGAAAAAAAAGAATACCCTAGCCGTTATGCCTGGCGGAACGTTTTCGATAGGCCACCCTGTATTATATTTCACAAATCTGCCCTAAAAGACTTAGCCTAATCCTATCGTGTTAAGCTACACCCAAAATTCCAAACACACGAGCTTTGATTAAGGCTTTGATAAGGTTTGCAGAACTTCAGAATTTGCCATAAAAAGGGAGCAATTTGTTACAAAACCATATAAATTATATATCATTGTAAGCACAAAACTTCAATCTATTTCCGTATTGTAATGGAACTTTAAATTATGGCATTATTTTCAAGAAAATTTAGTCCACACATAAGGAATATCTTGTTCGTTTGACCATCAAAATCTTAAAAATAAAGAAGTTGTCTAAAAATATGCTACGATACGGATATAGGATAAATCCTGTATCTTTAATTTCCTTCTTAATTTGTGTAAAAATACGTAGTTAATTTTACATAAAACGTTAAATGCCGAACGCTTATTTTGCTACTTTTTCGGAATAGTGAAATGGACTCTTAAGATACTTTAATAAAAGAAAAATATTTAAAATCATTTTTTGTAGTGTTAATAGCTGCCTACATTCGATACAGAAAAGTGAGATTTGTCTGTGACAATATCGACTTTGAGGAAAAACGTATAACGTATCATCTCAACTTAGCACAATTCGTGGACGCCTTCATAGTGGTAATTTTCATGATAATCCTTGCAAACTCAACCGATTCCTGGAGCTATGCTTCAGGGGTATGTGCAGGCCTCTTCTTTGTTATACTTATGGTTTTAGATGTAAGTATACAGGGTGCCGTCTTTCATATGCCGCTGAAGCTCCTAGCAGAACGATAACTTGTATTAAAATAAAATTTTGGGAGCATATACGGGGTTATTCACCTCATCCGACATGGAGTATTGTAGCGAAATGATAAGATTTTTAGAAATTGTGAGTGATGGGATTGTTGAACTACTAAAGCTACAATTTAAAATTTTCAGAAGGTACAGATTGTCCCAAGTAAATAAAAAATATCAAAGTTGTATTTTTTTAAATGTAACACCCTTAGGCCAGTCGCCAAGTATTAAAAAATAGATTATGGCGGGAGCAAATCCGGACAAGCTAGAATAAATTTTATTTTGTTTAGTTTAGTGTAAGGAACCACGTATTAAATTTGCACCACCCCCAAAGCCCGGATTTGACCGCCATCTTGGAAAGAGTGGTTCTTTCGGTTTATTTTTCATTATTTGTCAATAACTCGATTTCTATCAACTTCAGTGCAAAAAATGTACACACCAAAATTAAAGAAGAGGAAAAACTCTATAAAAACGCTCTATGTACTTTTTCCGTGCGACGCGCCACGACCCGTTTCCAAGTTATTTTGGTTTAAACACGCTAAATATATTATAAGCAGTTATTATTTCCTCTATTATTAAAATTGCTTTATCACCGGAAATTTATTTTGATGAAAAAATGACGGCAACAGTGTCTCAGGGAAAATTATTGTCAAATGACAAGAACAAATGTCGAATAATATCAATGATTTGTAATCGTTTGACGAACGAGGGCTTCCGAGTCAAGCAGGCTGATGAAGATGCTGACACATTAATTGTCAATACTGCAATTATAAATAAATAAATGCCTTTATTGTCAAAAAATTTTTCAATTTGTAGACAAAGGTAAACTAACAAACAAAGTAAAAAAAAACAAGGTACACAAACCAACAAACAAAAGATAATACAAAACATTATACAAATAATATTGTCAGTCTTATTGTTAAAATAAACATTTATAAATGTTTACAATGTCAAAGAACAAAAAAAATTAAAATAATATTCAAAAATATTTAACCAGTTTATAGCAAAATATCAATGACCTCTAAATAAATAAATTTCGATGTCAAGATGTCATTAGTAAATATAGCAATAGCAAACATTAGACCAGTGTTTTCAAGATCAAATTCGATTTTCAATTCAAATATAATTCATTTACGGCGTAGAAAGCTTTGTCTAGTAAATAAAAGTTCAATGCTTTGAGAAATGAAAAAAATGATGTTATGGATTTGATTTCAAATGGCAGGTGATTGTGCATTTTTTTCGAGTTGTATAATATTGAACTTTTAACTAACTCTGAGCGTGGGGTAGGTAGATAAAGATCTTGCTCCGCGTTCCTGAGTGGATAAGTGTGAGATGGCCTTTCTTGAGAAGCTGATACATGTTTACGTATTAGGCAAACGGATTTGAATTGAAGAATCAAATCACAATGAAACGGTAATTATAGTCGGCGAAGACACCGATTTACTTGTCATTCTTACTGCCTTAAATGGATCTCGGTCAAATATTTATTTTCTAAAGCCAGGCAAGGGGAAGTCGCAAAGTACAACGTGTGCACCCCATAATATGAATCTAGATGCTTCAGCTATGGACAACATTTCATATCTCCACGCATTTAGTGGCTGCGACACCACATCCGCATTATACAGACAACGAAAAATGAAATTCATTAAAGTTTTACAGAAAGAAAAAGAATTATTACAGACAGCTACACAAACTTTCAAAGACCCAAACGCATCCCAGAAGATATAGAAAAAGCTGGAGAACGGTTTCCTCTTCATCTATATGGATTCAAAAAATGCGACTTTTAGATAAGTACAGATACCAGTGTTTCGTAAAATCTATTACCAAAAGCTCACCAAACCTAGCATGATTACCACCGACCAAAGACGCAGCTCGCTTGCACTCCTTCCGTACGTACAGTCAGGTACAGCTATGGTATGGGAATGAAAAATCACCTCTAGATTGGGGATAGAAAAATTCAAAGAATGGGTTGATGTCCATTGCTACTTTCCAAGATGCAGCTCCCCAAGAATTATTAAATCTGGTTTCACATGTAAATGTGCCAAAGGTTGTAATACATCTTGTAGTTGCCGCAAAGCAGGTTTGCGTTGCTCGGTAATATGTGCACTTTGTCGGGGAAAATCATGTTCGAATAGTTTAGAAGTGGCAAAATTAGACGAAGATGAGTACGAGGATAGTTTTCCTCTCGATAAAGATCAACGAAAAGAATATTCTGCATTTTATGAACCAGATCCGGAATATGATACAGATGTGGAAGACATTCAGGAAGATTATATTGAACAGCCAGTAACATCAAAAAACGAAGGAATTCTGATGTACCTTCCACCTCAAAAGAAAAATGAGATCGGACCAGATGACCCCTCTTTATCACTACCACAAACCATTCGAGGTGAACAAAATGGATCGAGGAATGTGGACAGATATAACATTCCTTCAGGATGGACTAACCTGGTATACAGACGGGTCAAAGACCGCTGAAGGAACAGGAGCTGGAGTATTTGGGGAAAGACCAAGAGTAAGTTTATCCTTTTCCTTGGGTAAACACTCAACCGTATTCCAGACAGAAATCTTCGCCATTCTACAATGTGCGAGAGAAAACAATAGAAGAGCTTATTCAGATAAGCTCATCAATATATGCTCAGACAGTCAGGCGGCACTTGGGGCGCTTATGAGCCCAAAGGTATCGTCGAGACTCGTCTGGGAATGCCTAGGTGAACTGGAAGCTCTGGCTCGACGGAACAGAATTAAATTATTCTGGGTGCTGGGCCACAGCGGCATCCAAGGCAACGAAAAAGCCGATGAGCTAGCTAGGCAAGGATCATCGGCATCTTATCTTGGTCCAGAGCCAGTACTGGGAATACCCAAATGTATGGCCCGTAGTGCATTAAAACTCTGGATCAGGGAAAAGCAGAATGTCCACTGGAGAAACAGACAGGGGCGCAGGCACAGCAAGGCTTTTATCCAAGGACCTAGCTCTAAAACCGCAAAGAACTGCTAATGCTTAGCAGGAATAAAGTGCGGATTACAACAGGCCTCTTGACAGGACATATGGCTGTCAAGTGTTACCTGAACAAGCTCAATCTGTATCAAGGAAGTCTTTGCTGCAGACTCTGCGATAAAGATCCTGAAACAGCGGAGCACATAATATGTCACTGCGAGGCTCTGGATCGCAAGCGACACTTTTATTTGGGAAAGCTAGGCTAGAACCGGAGGAACTATGCTCCCATCCTATCAAGGACCTGCATAAGTTAGTGCAGGGCACAGGGATAGGAGAATGGGTGCAGATATAGAAAGGGGACAAACACAATAGGCCTCACAGGTCGCAGTGTTTCCGGCAGAGGACGGCCCCTTATTGTGGAAAAAAAACCTCAAAAGAAACCTAAGTTGACGACATGTGGATTAGGCCTATTGGAAACGGAGAAACCACTCAAAAAAAAACGCGCCGGGTACTTTACCTCAAGGCAGCTCCCTGAGAGATAAGGCGGTTAAACTTGATTTTCTACCAGTCGCGCAACAATAAAAATTTAGTCCGTTATTGCGGTCATAATGCAAATTGCGTTCTTCCATTATGACCGCAACAGCAGGCTACTGCCAACCAGTAGCAAACAAGTTTTTAGGCTTTATGTCTCGGGGGTGCCGCTCAAGGTGGTGTAGAAACAAGTACAGTTAACCCCCCGGATATATTGAACACATACATTATATCAAACTTTAATTTTGTTTTCGTAAAATTCGATACTTTGGGTAGTCGCACGAAAAAAACCCATACAACATTTTTTATAGAATTTTTCCTCTTCTTTAATTTTGGTCTCTACATATTTTGCACTAAAGTTGATAGAAATCGAGTTATTGACAAATAATGAAAAATAAACCGAATTTTAGCCAATTTTTCCAAGATGGCGGCCAAATCCGGGCTTTACGGGAAGTGCAAATTTAATACGTGCTTCTCGACACCAAAATAAACAAAATAAAACTTATTCCAGCTTGTCCGGATTTGCTCCCGCCATCGATGCACTTGCCGACTGGCCTACCTGGCGTATTTAAGTTCTTAAAACCAAATATTGTACTGAAGCTTTTCTATTTATTAAATTTTGTGTTGCAATTATAAAAATAATACTACCTTTTACAGAGTGAATTTATTTTAAATAATTACTAGCTTTGACCGTCAATAACTTGTTTTTTTTTGTAACACCCTATACAGGGTGTCCCAAACTGTGCTCTCACTTTTTTTATTTCACTAGTTAAAAGGCTTTTCAATTCGTTACTCTTTTTAACTGTACATCTTCCTATACCTAAAATAAATCGTTTTTAAGTTATTAATTTTATGATGATTGGTAATATCTTAGATTTCATTCTTTGATAGATGGTTCGTATTAATTTTTATTATCCTCATTTTTTTTCTGTTGTTAAACTATCACACATTTTCCGATAACTATTCCCCTCTTTCCGTAGCATTATTGGACTAAATAAATGTTGTGCATAACATTTTAAAATAGCCAAATGTATGAAGTTAATTAAAATTATATCAATAATAATCTATCAAAGAATGAAATCGGAATGATATTACCATAGAAAAGCCTTTGGATTTTCAGGACTTAGAAAAGAATTCAAATAAATTTTCAGGTTTTTTTAATTTTCTCTAAAACTGTAAAAAAATTTGGTGTAAACTAGATTAACCATTACAGAAGAAGCAAAAAATTTTATGAAGAATGCATTTTTCTCAAAATGTCAATAATAAAAAAGTGTTTTCTCTTGTAGAGACAATCGGGAATATACTGTAAGCTGTCATTCTATTTAGAGCTTCCGCGGCCTTTGAGAGCTGCCACCCTGTACAAAGTATATTCTCTATATACCCATTTAAACAAAGTCTTTTTTAACATTATTGCAGCATCTAGAGTGGCCAAATAACTTTTTAAAATTAATAAACCGTTTTTATTTGAAATTTTAGATAGTCATATCAAATTTTATTTATCCTGCATTTGGGAATGAGTACGTCAATTTGTTCAAAATAGGTTTAACTGTAGTTGCATTAATACTGTTCATAATGAAATTCACATTCCAGTCATTGGCACTAGAAAGATACAATGGTAAGTTTTCTTCATTTTTTTATCGAACTGCCTAAATTGCTGCCTGCGGTATAGACAATTGACGAAAGAAAGACCGCTCTTCCAGAATCTTCCCAACCTACAATAATTGAATACAATAATGATATCCACGTACCGGGTGGCCAACTAAGAATGGACGCCGGCTGTATCTCAGAAATTGCTTATCGTATAACTTTTGGAAAAAAATTCTAATAAGTAAGTCGATCAAGAGATATCGCTGGAAATTATTTTCAAGTTCGAGAAATGTCGGCTAGGGGGCGTTTCTCTGATAGTCAATGAGAAAACAGGGTATTTCTAAAAAATATGCAGGTGAACAGATATTTTAAATATTACTATTATAATCATCGAGAAATTTTTAATTTTTTTGATATGAGGATTTTGCTCTATCTCATAAAATAAAGTGGTGGGGGAAGGTTAAACTTGTTTTTATTAAAATAAGGATAACTCTGGTTTAGGTTAGCCGATTTAAACAAACTAGGGCTTGTTTAAAAGAACTTTTCTTCCTTATTGATCTCCAGTATAAATTTTGTTTCCATAATTTTTTTCGTGGTTGCTAGAGGGCGCTGTTTGACATAATAACAGATATTGCGCCTTGGCATAAAAAAATTAAATAGAAGGCTCTATTTATTTTTGCACAGTTAAATAGAGCGTAAAATTTCCAAAATTTCAGCACAAACCGCAACTTTCTATCTTCGCTCTAACTGGAAATATTAAGAGAACAAATCATGTTAGGCTGCCGCTTAGGATTATATAGTCTAAAAATTATAGTAGTAGGCTAGGAAACAAAAAGAGGTAAATTGGTTACGGTAAAATATCAAAACGTTTAAGTTTAGTTTTAGATTAGATTCTTAGAGGTGGCTTTCGGCCTGATCCACTGCGACCTTCTCAGATCTATTGTGGTCCTCTTCTGATACTTAGATTACATTCTCCAGTCCTATCATTTTCACAAAGTTTAGCAACTTGGAGACTGAACCCTCCATGTAGCTCCTTGGCAATGGCCTATCATTGCCTATTACCGGGAACCGCACATTTGCCAGGCTGTCACACCGACATAAAATGTGTTCTGACGTTTCTTCTTCAGATTGGCAGAACCTACACATAGCTTCGTCTGTCAATCCCATCAGCTTTAGATGCCTATTTAGCTTACAATGCCCTGTTAGTAGACCTACTGCAGCTTTGACTGTCTTTCTGTCCTTGCTTATCAAGTCTACCGTGAATTTTGGCGAATGTTCTACAATGAACCTTTTCGCCTGTCTCTGCCCTGGTGAGTTTCTCCACCATTCTAGAGATTTGTTGGCCACCCATCGTTCCGTGGCCATTCTCGTGACCGCCTTTGCAACGCCGCAGAAGGGTTCTGGGCCTATGAATGGCATTGATGAGCCTTGCTTGGCCCTTTCATCTGCCTTTTCGTTACCCTTGTGACCCTCGTGCCCTGGCACCCAGGCCAACGTAACAGTGCTACGTTCGCCCAAAGTATTCAGAGCACGCACACAGTCCCACACTAGTCTAGAATTGACCTCCGCGGAGCTGAGTGCCTTTAGCGCCGCTTGGCTGTCTATGAAAATGACCACAGAACGATTTGTTCTTTGTTGCCTTATTATTTCTTCTACACAATAGTGGATTGCCGTTATTTCTGCCTGGAAAATTGTGACATCCTTGGATAGGCTTACGTGGAGGGATCTCCCTTGTTTCGACCCTACTATCCCAGCTCCTACGCCTTCTGACGTTTTTGAGCCGTCTGTATACCAGGTTGCCTCAGCTGGAATGGGTACACCTTTACTCTAGTCTTCCCTTCCTGGTATGGTTATATTAAATTTGTTGTTGAAGCTATACCTAGTAGCTGTTGCATCAATTGGTAATCCCAATACTTTGTCTGCTTTTAGCTCTTCGATTAGCTTCTGGTTTGCAGCACTATGCGTTTGGCTTATATGCTGCTGACCGTGAATTAACCTGTGCATGACAGATCTGGCTTCGCCTTGTATGAAAATATGTAGTGGTGGTAAGTTCAACAAGACTTCCATCGCATTTGTAGGAGTGGTATCTAATCTAATCTAAGTTTAGTTTTCATGCATCCGAATTTAGGGCGTTTTCTAAAAAAAAATGACGTCAATTTTTAAACGTGTTTATGTAACATTATTGTCCATCCATATAATTTTTATGAATTTCTTGGTTAATTATACGTAGGCTGCTCTCAGATTAGAATGTCTGAAAGTTGGACAATCAATAATTTTAATAAAATTTCTAGGAATTTTGTGCCGCCGCGCCATATTGCTTTTAACAGAAAACGGCCGAATTTCGTATGGCCGAAAACTAGGGCTTTATTTCATGTAACGTCATTTAGTTATTAATCCAAGTCCGTCCTTGATTTCACTTGTTTTCGTGTTTTATCTGTTCTTTGTGTTATTTATTATTACATTATAAAGTTTATATCGTTTGGTTACTTTTCATATAGTACCGCAGGTGCGAATCTTAACAATATGCACTACTGGTCCAAATCTACCCTTGATGCAAACCTTGATAATTGCAAAAAACTTTGATAGTTCAGTACCAAGATCGTTGGTCGGTAAATATTTAGGCAGGAATTTTAGGATGGCGAGTGATTGGACTTTTTAATTATCTATATATATCCATAATTTCTAAGAGATGAATTGTCAATTTTGTTAGGGAATCCATCATGATGAAATTGCATTTGTTGCAATTTCATCAGCATGAATGCAGTTGGTGTAGTTGATGCAGTTGGTGCAGTTGTGCCGCTTATTTTCCTATGAATGTGTGGGGCTTCTTGGATTCCACTTACTTTAGTAGATAGAGACGCTGGAGCGGCATATTTCCATGACTAGCTAGGTCATCGGATTCAATATGCCTGGGTTTTAATTTATGGGGTCGAATCAAGAACAAACTTGGATAAATAACAATTAGGGTCGGTGCACTGGTTATCCGGCCAGCACTTGTCCTCGGCCTTTTTAGGATTTAAAGCTAAATATTAGTTAATTTAATCGCCGTTTATCCAGTCCAAATAGTAAAAGAGATTCATGTATCATTTATCTATCGAAAGTAGTAGGGGTTAAGATGGAGCTGCAACTAATAAGCGTGCGAAAAAGCCACAGTTCTTGGACGCGCAACAGAACAACATAGGTAGTGTTTCAAATGTAAATGTGCTTACTAGTGTGAAGCTACAAAATAGTAAGTATTTTAATATTTTTTACTCTAGGTACTTGTAATGTATTATATATGATGGGGGAAGGGTAAAACATGTAAATATATATCAAAACTAAGCAAAAATTGGGTTTTTTAGTTAAAATTTTCCGGGGCCGCAAACCAGTAATTAAAAACACGCTCTTTTAGTTCTCGGCCAACATGGCCTGAGAGTCGTATCAAAAAAGTTATTTTTCAATCTTAAAAAAAACTATAAAAAACATATTTTGTCTTGTGTTTGTTATTTTTTTATTTACTTATATTATTGCTTTTTAATTATTAGATTGCGGCCGCTAAATTAATTCGTATATAAAATATAATTTAATCAAAAATTATGTTTAAAAATAGTGACCGAGAACTAGCGTTTCTCGGCCACCATAAAAAATAGTGTGGCCGAGAACCAAGATCACTGTAGATTTCGGTTCTCGGCCGCTAACCAACTCTAATCCTTTTGATTTTTCTCAGTGGCTAGGGAAACTAGGAGAAATAAAACCCAGGGTAATAAAACCGTCTTGATACGACCTAAAGTATCAAGGATTAAAAGGAGGATGTACCAATACACAGAGGAAGATAGAATCAAAGGAAGAGTACCCGATCTTCTGAGGAAGCCCGATTTATGTTCAACGCCGAAGGAAAATTTGCTTCTCCACTTCTGTTATTCCCTTATGTGCAACTTCTCAGGGCTGTTATTGCCAATATGCCGAGCGGTTGGGTGTTAGGAATATCAGAAAGAGGATGGATGACACCTGACGTATTTTTTGAGTTTATCAATAATGATTTTAACAAATGGCTGATTACAGAAAATATTCCGAGACCTTTTATCCTGTTTGTGGATGGGCATAAATCCCATCTCACTATGACAATTAGTGAGTGGTGCCACAATAATGAAATAATTTTATATGCTCTTCCACCTAACATCACCCACATGCTTCAGCCTGCTGACGTTAGCGTCTTCAAACCGATGAAATCGGAATGGAAAAAAAAACAGTTTGTAAGTGGCAGAACAAACCCGAAAATCTACAACAAAATATGGGGTGACAAAAATTAATTTTTGAGCGTGTTTGACGAAATTTTATCAAAATCTGACAGATTTAAGAATTCTGTAAAGAATAGCTTCAGAAAATCAGATACCTATGGTTATAGGTATTTAACCGGTACCTAATGTTTATAGTTACTTATTTGTTATAGTTTATTTAGGTTTTAAGGAGCCTATTGCTATTATTGTATTACTAATATTCCTGCCATACATACATATAAGTTTTTTAATTCAAGTTTTTTTATTGATACCTTCATAAATTAATTGATTCTTAATTAGGTACGCAGAATCATAGTAAGGTATCCTACCTATATTCTAGGTATACCTACATGGCCGAGAACCAATACAAAATTGGCGAGTGAAGAACTGTCAGTGGTGGCCAAGAACCAGTAAAATAGCACTTTTTTCAGTTATTATTGTTTTTTTACTAAAGTTTTGAAAATAAAAATTACAAAAAAAATAATTTAAATAATTATTAAAAAATTTAATAATTATTAAAACACTCTACCGAACATTTTTTGTATTGGGCAAATTATCATTTAAAATCTCCTTCCATATCTAATCTGCTCTCAAAGTCAAAGTTTCCGTTAAAAGGCCGAGAACGAATGCATTGACCCTAAATGGTATTAAAATGAAATTAAAATATATGTTTTGATATTTTGACGTAACCAATTTACCTTTTTTTTTGTTTCTAGCCTACTACTATAATTTTTAGACCTAGGCGACAGCCAAAAATGATTTATTTTCTTAA